CCGCACGCGCGGCACGGCCGAATAGCTGCCGCGATAATAATAACAATAATATTAATAATAATAATAGTAACGCGGGCGGCAGTGGCGAAACTGTAAATATTTCTAGTCAAAATGATAGGGCCACTGCCGCCGAAGCGATAGGTACGAACCATGGCGCTGCGCCGAGCGGATCGGCGCAAAGTATAAGAGAGGAGGACGGTGGACCCGAAGAAGATTCGCCAGGTCCAATGATCGTGCGTACTCGTCGAGCAGCTAGGCAGCGTCTGCCTAGCATGCAGCCTCTGCAACAACACCAGACAGCGGCTCTGTAACGTCGCCACAAACAACACCGTTGAGCAGTCGAGTGACGAATGCCAACACAAGTCACTCGCCTGAGTCGCCGTGAAGAACGCTACGCCTCTACCGCAAGAACCGGAGGAGGGTCGTCCAAGAGGTCGTCAATGGGGCTCCTCAGCACTGCGAAATCAGTGTTGCCGAGTTCCAGAGGCACTTCAAGGACGTGCACTCCGTCAGAGAACCTGGAGGAGCATTGCCGCCGCTGTTCACCGCCGAACCGCCCACGGCTGCCAGCAATGAGGCCTTGGTGAAACCCTTCGAGAGAACAAAGGTGAGCCTGAAGCTCAGGAGGATGAATAACTCATCTCCTGGGCCAGACGGTGTAACCTACTGCGATTTGAAGAGGGCAGATTCAGGCTGCCATATGCTGGCTGCACTCTTCAACGCGTGTCTACGCACTAGGCTTTTATTTTATGTCCGTGTTTGTCCATCTATGTTCATTTTTTAGCAACAGAGGTCGACAGATGAAAATAATCATGTCCTATTGGAGGGCATGAGGGCATTAGATTCGTTCTAGAATCAAGTCTTTTTTAAAATCAGCCAACCCTCTGTTCTTATTAGCTTGACATCTAATACGAAGTCTATACGACTTCTAGCATGAGATAGCACTGATTTTTGAAAACCGGCATAGCGCCTGGGGCTTGCTCCGGCTTTGCCACGGGTCTTCTCTGCATTGCAGTACCGCAGAGTTAGGCCTAATAAACACTATAAAAACAATCAGTAGCTTTAAGTGCCGGTTTTCAAAAAAAAAACACTTCGATTCATAAAAAATTTTCCCTTACGGATACGACACTTTGATCCGACAGGCGAGTTTCCGACCCGTTCGCGCGCGAAGTGTTTGTAAATAAAGCCCGGTGTGTGATACGTGTATATATTTGTGTAGTGTATTTAACCGACTTTTCTGTGATTTTGACAAGACTTTTCGCTATTTTATTCTCGACGACGTCTCCACGCACACACCGAGGTCGAGAAGCGATTGTGGAGGACCCGGGCTGTCGCTGCGCATGTACGCATCCCCAGCCGGTCTGTCTAAGCGAGTATACAAGGCTCATTTTACAGTAGAAAGGTACACCTGCGGGGTAAGTCCTTTCATAGTTACATCTACGTCCTCGAGCAAAAGCAGACCGGAAGTCGACGTGCATCGTCTGCTCTCGCGAACGCTTCGGCTCTCAAACCCCAGTCCGTATACCTAAAGTCGTTGTAGCGGTATACCTGCCGCGTCTTCTGCTCTCGCGGGACAGTTGACGCAGCAGACAGCTGCTCGAGTTTACTACACGAGCAAGCAATAACATCTCGGTGTGGAAAACTACACCCTGGTGCCTCACGGATTTCAGTCTACATTTATTTCCCCCACCCAATCATAAGCCCCGCAGGACGGCTTCAATCGATATTGATATCGACTTAACGAAACTTCACCGAAGAATTGATTTGCCTGGTGGCCAAAGAAACCGCGCGCCCGTATACTCTAGGTATTAAAGTTTGTTAATAAACGTGCTTGTAATTAGTTCGAAGTTTTAGTGAAAAAATAAATAAATAATATTACAGTAAAACCGAAATCCCCCTCTTTCCAAATATTAAATAATACATTAATTTACGAATGCGCGAAGTGAGTGATTCTCAATGAGGTCAGTTTGATGCCCGAGCGTAGCGAGGGTTCAAACTGGATTCGTTGAGAATCACTCACTTCGCGCATTCGTAAATTAATGTATTATTTAATATTTGGAAAGAGGGGGATTTCGGTTTTACTGTAATATTATTTATTTATTTTTTCACTAAAACTTCGAACTAATTACAAGCACGTTTATTAACAAACTTTAATACCTAGAGTATACGGGCGCGCGGTTTCTTTGGCCACCAGGCAAATCAATTCTTCGGTAAAGAGACGACTTCGTGATTATCTGAAAAAAGACTATTTCTTGTTGTTAAAAGACTGTTCGAATGTATCTTTCATAGACAATACACGACAGTAACACCAAGCATTTACTTGTTGAAAAAACACGTATAGGCGCAAAGTCAACGTCGACTGCGTGCGATCGATTTTTCGACTTTTTCAAGACGTCGATGGTACTTATATACACAGTTTGAAAAGACCTGTATATTGTACAGCTTTAGAAGCTGTTACTTATTGTTGTATTAAGATTATTGGGCCTAACTCTGCGGTACTGCAATGCAGAGAAGACCCGTGGCAAGGCCGGAGCAAGCCCCAGGCGCCATGCCGGTTTTCAAAAATCAGTTCGATATGCTAGAAGTCGTATAGACTTCGTATTAGATATCAAGCTAATAAGAACAGATACTACACTTTGATCTTAGCCAAAAGGCCGAGAAGCGATGCTGCTGCTTAGTTTTTACTCACATTTAACTACAGAACTTTAATTTTTTACTTTTGGATTGAATTATGACCTCTAGCGGTGAAATCCGAAACTCGCCGCCGACGAGCGTATGGGTTTCCCTCTCCACAGCTATACTTTCTACTGACTGTTACATACTTGTATTTGTACATCTATAGCTGTTATTCAGCCAGATCTATAATATATATTTTTTAAATTAAAATATTCAAATATGTCAATTTTACATTTAATTTGCGTGCGGCAGTTCGTCACCGAAAAACGCAATGGAGAATTTTCGCTTTAAAGACACTAGATTTATACGGTTTTCCTATCTCTTTATACATTCATTTATTTTTCAGCTTTAAAATCATTTTTTTAATAAAACAATTTTTATTATTGAAGTTATATTTTTAATTATTGATATTGTTAAAGCAGTGTGATCGCTCTGCGTGCGTGTGAACTTATATGTTTCCATGCACATCAACAGATCCTACGATTTACAAGTCCATGGTTTTTTATTGAAAAAAATTCATGGTTTGTCTTTTACTCTTTAAATTATGAAAAAAAGCAACTTTTTTAATATTAGCAGTTTCATTAATACTAGCGAAACCATACAAGCGAATCCCCTTCAGTTAAAAAATTATTTACTTCAGATCAAATGTTTTTAATTGAGCAACTTCAAAAACATTTCTAACTTGATCGAAATGAATTAAAATTAATTTCATAATACGCAACTAATCAAGCAAGCTGATGTAATAGAAGAAATTAATTTCAATGATTTACGTCCCCGATCTAACACAGTTTTGAAGGTACATCTCAAGAAGATGCATAGACTGACAACTGTTTTTAAATAGTTATGTGGTGTCATATAGATATTTATAAGTAGCACATATATAATGATTGTAAAATATTAATTTTCGCTGCAAACAATTTGAAATAAGATAGGGCATGAATTTCGACAATTTCATATAATTATAAGTACTCGGTGACATCAGTAAGCATAACTTTTATTTAATTTTATAAAATATATACAATATCATGTACTTTACCCTGAGTATGTAAAAAATGTGATATGAATATCACGTCAGAAGGCGAGTACATTACAGACACGCGCTAGTTCATTTACATAATATACTGCAACTACTGGCCTGATCTGAATCGTTATGTGAACACTTATCAGCCGACGAAGACTAAAAAATATGCCGATAATGAATGAAATAATGAGTATCTAGATTGTCTGCCAGGATCAGGCAAACAGCCTCACAGTGAACTGCTAGACCAACTTTTCCGACTAAACTTTTCCAACCAACAATTTTCAGCGCGATGCTTTTGCCGAAGTTTGTTGAGTACGTTCATCGCATCGAATTCGGCATTGTCAAACAGTTTCGTAGAGTTTTCGACAGTTCCACTTTGATGGATCCACCACCGGCCACAACAGCATCGATCTTGATCAATGGTCTTATCGCCATCATGTATGCGTCGTAGAAAGATGCTTCGGTTTCTTCCAAGAAGTGTTCGGCATCGCATCTCGAGGTGCTCAATATCAATTTTCTTTTCTTAAGAAGCGTTTATGCTGGTCTACATTTTCTCATTTAGGGTAACACTACTCGTGACGGATATTCAAAATTTATCCAAGATAATTAATTTCGTTAATTTATTGTTAATGTCCGGTGCCTTAATTACCACTTGCAAAATAATAATCAATCATCTCGACTTGTTCAAATACTTTTAGTGGTTCCTTCCATCTTAATTTTTGTTTCAAGGACATTCAAATAAATTGTAAAGAAAACACGTGATAATGAAATAGAACATGAATATTATTATTTAGTTATGAATTTAATATCAATAAACAAAATACAGAGTATAACAGTAGGAATATGTACACCTCTTGGCATACAAATTAATATCAATGGCATCAATCAAATGATTGGCAATATTTTTCATATCACTGATTAATATCACTTCAACTAAACTTAATGCAAAAATGATCAATGAAAATTTATCATATAATAAGCCATTTAATAATGTAACAAATATTTACAAATACTAAAAAAAAATTCACAGATGTACTCAATTCAAAATGTTATTCAAAGTTTATGCCAGTGTCACTTCAAAAAAAATTCATATAAATGGAAATATCGGATTAAATATTTCAATTACTCGATAAAAAGAATAATGATGTTAGAATAGAAGGTAACATAATGTTGGAATAGATGGGACGATGTAGATACATATAAAAATGCTTAATTGTCATACACCTACGGTAAGTAAAATGTTCGTTTTTCGACAAATAATTTGATGCAACATGGGGTACGCAGATATTGACAGATTCAAATATACTTGGTGACATCAATAAGCATAATTATTATTTATTTTCATAGAATATATTCTATTGTAATCATCTTAATAGATACAAAAAATGCGCAGAAAAAACATCTATTTTTACAAATAATTAGTATGTTCTTTTCCGGTTAATTTTTGAGACGTTGTTCTTCGTAGTGAAAGACCCTGAATTCGCCGACTAGATTGCTACACAATGTGATAATAGTATCGCTCCTCACATCACTTGACCCTTATGATCATGTTCGTTAAAAAAAGTAAATTTCAAATCTTGAGTTATATCATAAGTATATCTATTCAGCGATCGAAACGCACGCGAACGACTCAAATAATAATCCATAATATTTTTCAACATACTCGTGTGCGCCATAGCTTCTCCAATAAACACCCTTATTCTATTGCGGTAAAAATGCATTCATCTTGACAAACAGTAAATAATTATATCAAACTATTTTCAATAGTTTTTTCACGCTGATAATGTTCTTATTGAACATATTATCTTAATAAAAACTGAGCGGTTTTTCCAACGGTGGTAAATGCTCAAAATCACATTACGAACAAAATCATAAGGACAACATTTGCGAACAATAATGTCTGGGTTTAACAGTGTCTCTCACGTGAGCAACGTGTCATCTAACTCTTCAACCTTACCCTCGGGTTGAGATATGGCCTTGCGCAAAACTTTACTAACTACATCGGATAAGGATTCTCTCGCACCAGGATCAAGAAGGGCCATGCATCGCTGAAATATTAAAGAAAAAATTTGTAAATAGTCTTATTGAGAAATAAAGAGCAAATTGTTTGCACAAGGCAATTTTAAGATCTACCTGTTGCTCTTCGTCGCCTGATCTCAAACGTAAAACAGCAATCAACGCTAATTCGCTATTCGCTTTAACGTAACCGTTCTTTTCTTTAGTTCCATTGACCAGCATTGGCAGAAGCGATTTCAATAATTCAGGTGACATATTTTCTGGTTTTATACTTCTCGCAAGGTGCATACATACCCTTGCAAGCAACTGTTTTACTTCGTTACTATTGTTGTTCATGGACTGTGGAAAATTGAGCAAAAAAAAATTATATCAATAATAGAACGAAACTAAAAAATTTCTGATACTTACTCTGACGAAGGGAGTGAGGATGACTTGAGGTATCGGTTGATTCGTGTTCATAAGATGCTGGAAAAGATATCCACAAGCTCGTATGCCGTTCATGGCTATTTGTATTTTTTCCGCAGCCAAATGAGTCAGTATAACTTTGCAAACGCGGTCCTTGTACTTTTCGGTGTAAATAACTTCTGGAGCTTCTTTCAGAGCTACGAATAATGCTGCCGAGCGGCCATGCTTCAATGTCCAATCGTCATTTGCACTGGTGCATAGGAGGTGGTCGTTCAATGCAGTGTCAAGTTGATCGGCATTTAAACACTTCACAAGGGCACCATAACAACCAGCAACTGCATTTCTTGTCGTATCTTCTTGGTGTCCCAACATTCCACTTAATGTGTTGAATAATTGTTTTCTCAAGGAGTCCGACGTCCGATCAGCAGCTGGTGTTATAACTCCACGCAAAGCGTGTAACATTGTTTCTCTAAAATTAGACAATATATTATTAGCTATCCTAGAAAAAAAGATTCAAGAAATTGTTCTGTGCATAGTTCAGGGCTCACCTAATCGCTGGATCATCTGCACCTTTCAAAGCTGTGTGTAACTCAACGAATAGAGGATCAGCTCGAGCAAGAACGACAACGAGATTGCTCAATGCAAAAGCAGCTTTTATTCGAACTTGTCTGTTACCATCATTCAACGATTTTAAAAATGAAGTTTGCAACTGCGGTAAGAATTGCTTCAACATAACTCCAACCTAAAAAGACAAATCAAATTATTATGTTAATCGAAACATGTAAGATATGTAGGTAAGATAAACAAAAAAACGTCTTACTTTGCCAAGTAAAATAGCTAAAGTTTCTAGTACAGCAGCTTTGACGCTGTGAGGGAATCGATCGCCAAGAATACGAATTAGTGGACCAGTAATTTGAACAACGCTTGGTTGAAGAGCTTCAGCGTTGGCTAGTTTGATTACTTCCCCTAAACCTTGCGATGCTGCTTCTTTCGCCTCCGGCATGCCGTTAAGGATAGCTTCTCGGAAGATGGGTAGAATAGGCGTTATACCCTTTGGTAAACAGAAACCTGGCAACAGTTCTTGACCTTTCAGATCCGATACAGCAAAACGTACAGCTTGACGAATGTCGCCGACATGATAAATTTGCTGATCTGAATTGAGGGTCTGCAATAGAAATTATGATTTGAATAAATAAAGTAATCTTATGAATTATCCACAGCAATAAAGTGACATTGCCACAATCAAACCTTGGTAACAGCAGTCAAAGCCTCCCAACTCATCTGCAGTACATCCTTGTCTTGATCAGTAAACAAGTGGATGAGACCGCGCAAAAGTTGTGGTACGTAATGATTGTAATCCGCTCTGGTCTCCCGGCAAAATGCACACAGCAGAGTAGCAGCACTCTTGCGCCTGGCCAATTCTTCCGATCTCGTAGCTTCCATGAGCTGATCCATGACGGTGCGCACGCCCGAGTCGTCCGTTATAGAGAGAATAACGGCTTGACAATACTCGAGTTCCTGCATCTCGTCCGGCGTACCTTGTGCGCTCGACAGTGCCGTCAGCAGAGCCGGCAGAATTTTGTGCAAGTACTTTGTCAGAGAATCGCCGGCGACGCTGGCGAGAATCGACAGGGCTTTCGTGTTGACCGGCGAGCTCGTGAGCTGAGGCACCAAGTACGGAAGTACAACTCGAGATTTCACGGCCATCACCTGTCTCAAGCCGTCGAGGGTGTTTTCAGCCTCCTCGGGATCTGACGAGTTTAGCTGAACCAGCATAGCTGGTAGAATATCTTCAAGGGCACGAACACCTACGGTAGAGTGCAGACTGTCAAACGTTTTAGCAGCAGCTTGACGTACTTCCGGCAGTGGGTCACTGAGTGCTTTTCTGTAATTATAAATAAAAAAAAAATACGAGTAAAAATTAGTTTACCATTATAATTTAAGTCATAAATCGAGAAACTGCATATGAGTTCGCTGCTTACCTGACAGTTGGTACCAAACTATTGGTGAACGACAGTACCATGTCTTTGCTGGTGCTGGCCATGATCTCGGACAATCCGATGCAGACGCCTTGGCGCTGATCGGCGTGCTCGCTCTGCAGACCTCTCTCCAATATGGGTATAATCTCCGGCAGCACTCTCTCGCCCAGCTTCCTCACCAAGTCGCCGAGGGTGCGAGCGGCGACCTGCCTCTTGTCGTAGCTCGTGCTGGCCAAGCAGCCGAGCAGCAAGCTGAACAGAGTCGGCAGAATTTCGCGAAGCGTGCGCGGCGTGTTGGTCACGACGACCTTCCAGACGTGAAGCGCGGCCTGGCGCACCATGAGAGCGACGTCGGAGCGTCCCATGTACAAGCCGGCCAAGACGCGATTGCGCCGCTCGGCGCCCAGTGCCTTGATGATGGCGTGGTGGGACTGCTCCGTGCCGAAGTTGTCGTCCTCGCTCGCCGTTTCCGTCGACATTTTGCCGGACACGCCGGAAATTCTGTAGAGCAAATCGCCCAAGAGTTGCACCGACGAGTAGCGAATTCTCCAATTGTCATCGAACAGTCCTCTCTCGAGCTCCGGGAGCAACAGCATGATCGCCGAGTCGGCGTACAAGTTAACGATTCTCTGCCCAGCCCTCAAAGCCGTCTCTCTGACGTACTCGTTCTCGTCGGCGAGCGCCTTCAAAATGGGATTGATGATCTGGCCGATGTAGGGCGTGAATTCGGTGGTGAAGGCGCTCGGCATGTAAATGAACATCATGATGTAGCCGTCCTTGACGTGCGGTGCAATATCCGTGCGTTCAGCAGTGCTGATGATCTCTGGCATGAGCTTGTGCAGCTTCTCGACGCCGAGGCCGCGAACGACCTCGGAGAGACCCTGAGCCGCGCCGGAACGATCGACGCTACTGGCCTCGGAGGTCAGTGTCATCATGAGCCAAGGCAAAAGATCTTCGAAGCTCGACTCGCCCATGCCCCTAACCATAGCGCCGAGGGCACGCGCCGATACGCTACGCACCTCCGGGACGGGATCGAGCAGGCTCGTTTTCAAGCCAGGAATGATCGTAGGCAGGTAGGGTGTCAGATCCTTCTGATCGGTCAACGAGTACATGTTGCCAATGATCTGAGCGGCCATTTTTCTCGTCTCCGTCGATCTGTCCATGAAAGCTCGCTGCACCACGGGCATGATCAACGCGAGCGACGGCGCATCGATGAAATGCACGAATTGCGTGTCCAGCAACGTCTGCAAGCACATCGCGGTCTTTCTCGATGGATCTTGCAAAGCCTTCAGGAGCACCGGTACGATCGCTTGGATCTCGGGATTACGGATGACGCTGCCGATGACTTTGAGAGCCTCGGCGCCAGCCTCTTGGACCTTGGTGTGCGAATCGCTGAGCACTTCGATGAGTTTGGGCACGATGCTCGGCAAGCAACTGGACAGTTGTTTGGGGGCGCAATAAGCCATAGCGCCGAGGAGCTCGACCGAACCGGTCTTGGTTCTCCACGAGTCCTTTTCGAGGCCGTCCAGCAGACTCGGCAGCACGAGTTTGACGCCGTGAGCCGAGAGTCTGCTCATGACGACGCGCGCGGTTTCGTCCGTGGCCGCTCTGACGTATTGACTGGAGTCGCCGAAACAACTCAACAAATGGGGTATGGCGTGCACGATATACGGCTCGAACAATCTTCCGAGCATCGTGCACAGCATTTCAAAGGCGAACAGCGCACCCTCGCGATGCTTGTAATTCTTCTTGTCTTGAATGGCGTTGGTGAGAGTCGACATGATTTCGTGCTGTTTCAGCGCCAATATTCCCAGCCCCTTGACTAGACCTGCCAGACCGTAGGATGCTCCTCTGCGGTCGCCGTACTTGTCGGCGTTAAGAAGTTGATGCATGAGTTTCTCGATCATTTTTGGAGTATCGTCCTTTATGGACGGTACCAGATACGGCAAGCAATTTCCCACGGCTTCTTGCACCTGCTGCGACGGCGTCGACAATGCCGCGATCAGTCTCGTGACGATGGGTTTGATTCTTGGATCGTCTTTGTCCAAATGCCGAGCTAGCGATCCCATAAGAATGACGACGCTCTGCTTGATGCAATCGAATTTGCCGGTTTTCGGCGCTTTGTCCATGAAGTCCTCGAAAACGGGCAATAGAGTCGCGATGTTTTCCCGACCATGAAGATCGACGGCAGCCATCGCGGCCGTGAACATATCCGTTCTGACGGTCGTGTTGCGGTCGCCCAAGCCGGTCGACACGAAAAACTGAATGAGCGTCTGTACCGTGTCGGCCTGCAGAAGCGGAGCAAACTGCGCGAAAGCTAGCGCGACACCGCGACGCGGACCCCAAGTGTCGATCGGTTGTTCCACGACTCGTCCGAACTCATTTAATTTGGGCGGAATCATGGCCAATTTGCTGTTGTAAAGGGCGAGCAGTCGGTCCAAGATGTCGGGCATGAGCCGTGGCTCTTGAGAAATCAGGCTCGCCAAGGCACTGGCGGTAGCTTGTTGAATCGCTTCGACGGGATGCGGGATATCTTCTATAACCTGGTCGCATAGAACCGCTGGATCGGCTTTCAATTCGGCTTCATTCCACAATTTCTCGGCTAATTCTTTATTCTCGTCGCAAACGTCGAACTTGGCAATCCATATCCTCTTCGTTAAATTCAGGAGTTGTTCAGGATTTACTTTGTTGTTGGGGAAAGCATCCTTCATGATCAGCAAGCTTCTTAAAGCTGCGTCTCTTACGACGAGCGAGGGATTTTGTAACGCGCTGAGCAGCGAATCTATTTCCTCGGAAGTGGCCAGTGCAGCCCCCTCGACACCGCTGCCGGAATGAGCGACGTCCAGGAACGTCATTACCGCGGCGGTCAGTGTGCGTCCAGTCGTCTCGCTCATCAGCTCGATCAACAGATCAAACATCTGCTTACGCGGCAACAAGCGAGGATGACAAGGATCCTCGGGATCGGTCGAACTTCCCCGCTGCTTGGAGTGCTCTTGAATGATTTGCAGTCCTTGGGCGATCATAGAGTCGTCCTTACAGGTCAGGAGAGTTTTCTTTATGAATGGAAAAACGTAACAGAACGCCGAAGCGCAGAACAATAGTTTCCTTTTAATCGTGATCGAATGTATCATATTTAAGGTTCTTTCGATGGATTTCGGCAGTGACTCCGCCTCCCATTCTGGATCCAAATCGCATTGTGGCTCGTGCTGTCTCAGTGTCACCCTCGCGATCATTTCGTTCAAGGTTGAATCGTGAGAAATCATGATGGCATCGCGTAACTCGACAAAAAGCTCAGCCATAACTGGCGCAGCCAGAGGTGACGCCAAATTTCTCAAAATCGAAGGAAGCAGATCTTTAAAGTAGAACGACAAATGATAACCGTTTCCTTGCTTTGCTGCTCTGATCATTGACACAACATTGGTGATGACAGTATTCATTTCCGTCAGTTTGCGCCTGATTGCATTTTCTTTGTTGACTTGGGCTTTCAATGCTTCTTCTTGTTTTGGCGTCAGTTTAGGCTCTTTAATCTTGCCTTCTTTTTTGCGTTTTTCATACAGCTCTCTTCTTAATTGCAGTTCTTCTTGCTGCTCTTTAAATGAATATACTTTGCTCTCGCGTTTCATATTCATAGCATTCAAAATGTCATTTTCATTGTTTCCTGGCAGAACACTCTTATCATACAATTCACCTTCAGGAGTCAAATATATGAAATACTCATCTTTTGTTACTTTTATTATTTCTGGGTCATCCAGTTTACTAGTTATGTAGGTGGTTAAACTGCCCAGTAGCACCTCAGGAGCAATGGCAACAACTGTTTTCAATGCATTTTCATAAGAAAGAGTAGGTTTATAATTTTGGACAAAGAGCTTTTTAATCTCAACACTGTTTTTACGCAGGTAATTCACAGGGGTACCAAAAAAGTGCTTTACAACTTTTTGCCAAAGAACTCTTTGAGCTTTCAATATCATTGGATGATGTGCAGGTACTAAAACATCTCGTATGAAGTTTATTGCGTGCTGCTCATGCACAAAAGTGCCAGAACAAATAGCAGACAAACCACTTGCAAGAGAAATGCTGTTTACAAGTTTCTCATTATTTGCCTCTTCTTTAATATTTTCTTTATTTTCACTCTCTGATTTGAATTTACCAGACTCCAGGACTTTGTTGAATTCTAATAATAAAGATTGCACAGGTTCATAAGTAGCAATGTCAGTTAACAATTGTTGCAACAAATTTGAGCATTGTTTTCTTGTCTCATATTTTGGAGTTGTAATGCAAACAACAATAGCTTTGTGCAAACCAGCTAAAGCTTTTGCATTAATTTTATTAGAAAATTCACGTATGAGTTTGTGACAAAATTTCATGAGAAAGTAAACTGTATCATCACTGCAAGTTGATAAAAACTTTTCAGATGAAAAAATCTGATCGTCTATAGCTGACCACAATACACTTTGTTTTTGATTTTCTACCTTATTGTAACTCATAAGTGTTAACAATAAACATGCTGCATATAAGCCTGTATTAACAACAGGAGGTTGAGCACTTTGTTGAGCAGCTTTAGTTATTGTTTGAATTAGTAGTTGAACAATGTTATCGGCGCAGTTACTTATAGCTTTATCTGGGATCGAGAAACACATTTTGATGTATGCAGTTTGAACTGCTGGAGTAGCATTCTTCGAGTTCATACCTTGTTTAAATGCTTCAATAACATTTTTTGGTACTTCATTATCAAAGTTAGCACTCCATATAGCCATCATTTCTAATGCATGGCATAATGTTTTTTCGTGCACTTCAGTTTTTAGAACATTAATAAAATGATTGCATGCTGCTTCAGCTAATTTTGGACGATTGCTTTCGCTGACAGCATTTTCGTTAAGTTTTCCAGCACACTCCAAAACTGATATTTTGTGCGTAAGAACAGTCAGTTTACCTTGCGAACCATTGAATACAGCAAACACATTTTTTAAGAGTTCTTCAACTACAGCACTATTGCTACAATTACGTATTAATTTTTGGCAAGCAATGGCAGACTCCTCTCTTACTAGATCATCCTTTGAAATTAAATTAGCTAATATTCCTTTACTTATATCTGGAACATAGGGATCCAAATTTAAATTAAGTAAGAGTAAAATATGACCCACAGTTTCAATAATGATTTCTGGACTGCGCAGCATTGCTTTTTGTAATGCTGGCAACAATTGAGTCTTGAAGTCATCATCTTTAATTACTTTCAAAAATGGTTCCGCTGCATCAATGAGATAAAGTTTTGGTTTTTTTTTGCAACTAACGCACACTTTGATAAATGCTGGCAGACAAGCTACTTTCAATCTTTCACAGAGTTTACTTTGGTTTGCTTCAAGAAATGATGTCAGAATTCCAGAGATAACTATTAAACCTTCACTAGCTTCAGCATCCTCTATTACACTTACAAATTTTTCATCTAAGTCATAATCAACATCCTTCCATAAACAAAAAAACTGACCCGTCACATTTCTGGTAAGTTTTTTATCTTCAACTGCTAAGGCCGATGCACATAATATAGCTTGAGCTAGAATTAATCTTGCTATTTCTGAGTCATCTTTTGAACAGATCATATCGTTAGATCCATAACGATAAATCAGAAAACTCCATTTTAATACTAGGTAGGCTGACGCTCCTGTGCTACGCCTTAAAAACAAAAATATCATTCATTTATATAGGCTTCCAAGGTTAGTTAATTAATTCTAGACTATTTAAAGAAAAATCAAAAAACCTACGTAGGCATCACATTTTTATGCCATTCAGCTTGCTCGCAGATGACATTGATCATTTGCCTGAAACCCTCTTGTGGACGAGTTACCAATATACATTTGATCAATTTTTGCACATAAAACTGAGATGAATTATCAGTATATCTGTGTATCGTAAGGGATAAACTTCTGCAAATCCAACTGATGATTTTTTCATTGATCTCTGTAATAAAAGTGTAAAAAAAATAAGTCTTGCTCAATGTGTCACAATCATTGAAAAGCAAAATTAAAAAAGAGTTTATTCATAACATCTGCTTATGGACACAATCATAAACTACTTTTTAACATTTACATGCATAAACATATCAAGGTTCATAAAAATATTTACCAGGACATATTAAAATCTTCATAACTTGTTCAATGACCTGTTTGCGTTCAGATTTGCTGGACACCTGAATACGACTTGGCAAATCTTTCAGGGCCTTTGTCAGCTGTAAAAAAAATAGCAACCATTACATGTGGAGCAATCATACATTTTTTTGGTGAACAATTCAGCTCTCGATTACGCATTTTGGATAGGAAAAGTGAGATGAAGGGAAGGAAAAAGAGAATTAAATGCAAAAAATATGAGGCAGACGTGGCCAAGGGAGAAACACGTGTACGATAATAGGCGATGCATGCGGGCAAAGAGAAGCCCACCGAGGAAGATGGTTAAATAGAAAATAAGAGCGCTCACTTTATCTTCCTCTACCATTCCATGGTGGCATGCCATTTTGCAGGGCAGATCTGTGAACTAGGCTCTGTTTATTTCATCAACAGCAGCCATACACCACTGTAATCGAGTGCGATGGTGCAAGCAACAGCGGCAGCGGCTAAAGTATGTGATATATATGCCGGTCTCTCGGCGTATTACTCTCGAGTTGGCAAGCAAGCCGTATCTGCCGAGGTAGCGACTCGTATCGTAACGTGTCGGTGTTTAGTATAGGTTTCCCCCTGTATGGGACTTTGTAGTCATGTGCGGGTTTTTGCAATTGTGCGCGCGCGCCACGGGCCACAGCCGCCGCCGGTTCGCTGTAATATCACGCACGATACGATGCTTGGCTACAGGCTATGTATATTTTCGGAGCGCAAATCTACAATTCGGCGCGTGTCGATTTAGCCATGCGTGCTGCATTATCATCATTGCAGAAGTCATTCTCGCGAGCGGCAAGTCACGAATTCGACATTTTATCATACTTGATGGGCATCACGAGATTATCAGTTGAATATTTCTTGAAATAGTTTAATTGTCATTTTGGAAAATTTTAGAACATCGCGGTAAGAATCAGAATTATAAAGTATGCTTAGACAAATATCTTAATGATTGGCATTAGTGCTAAAATCAGAAGTATCAAGTATGCTTATAAACAAATATCTTAATGATTGGCATTAGTGCTATGATAGATGAAATTATATTTTCAAGTCTTTGACAGTATGATCAAAGATACTCTGTAACATTCATACAACTTTTAAAAAAAATTTATTCAAGTTAGGAGTTGCAAAAGTTTCACAATCATATTCCTGGAAAATCCATATTTGCAAAGGAGCAGTTGCACGAGATGCATCGCATATGCATCTCGTGTTTGCAGATTTATCAACGAGATGGCGATCGAAGTCGATAAACGATCAAGTTGCCCGAGACGCGAGGATGGGAGGTAAAGGAAGATGAGACGAAATCCGATTTTTTTCCTTTTTTCCGCTTTTATCTCTCGCTCATAGGAGAGGCTACGCATTTTCTATTACGCTATTCACGTATATCCATGAAAACAAGTGCATCGATTGAGGCGAAAAACTTATTCGAGCTTTGAAATACTCAACTTACACGAAGAACAAGTATAATATCGGCATCAATAACATTGGAGATTTAAGTATCTATTCAAGCCATGTCGCACCATCGTACGAATATATATTTCTCGCTGCTGATACTTTTGTCGCTGTTGAGTCTCTCCCGTACGCGTGAGTATAGCTATTAAAAAACAAAATACAATTATGCAAATTATGGGAATCGTTTGTAACGGTTTGCAGAATCGAGCGACGGCGATCCGTGCCCGAACGTGGTCGAGCGTACCCGCTGGGGCGCGCGACCTTGGCGCAACGTGAATTACCTGGTGACGCCGCTGCTGCACGTCGTCGTGCATCACACCCAGACGCCGGACTGCGACCGCTTCGCCGAGTGCGCCGATCTCGTCAAGGGTATACAGAATTACCACATGAACGATCTCAAGCTCGACGACATCGGCTACTCGTGAGTCATTTGATTTCTTGACCTTGACGTAACATCATCCGTGGCGCTCTGATTGAAGCTGCATCCGAGTATTGCGTTTTTTTTTCCTTACTGCACAGATTTTTAATCGGTGGCGACGGCAACGTCTACGAAGGGGCTGGCTGGTACAACGAGGGTAAACATACTCGTGGCTACGACAGGAAGTCCGTATCGCTGGCATTCATAGGCAATTTTCAAAGTAAGTTTGTACAGAAATTAATTGAAAGCGGAATTACTTGATAGAACGATTATATTCTTCTTTCTCGTCAGAATCCTTCCGGAACTCGACAATGGGTATCACCATAGATAAGAACCCCAGCGAAAAGAGTCTCAAGGCGGCACACGATCTAGTCGCTTGTGGCAAAAGGCAAGGATTCCTCCGACAGAACGTCAAAGTCTACGGGGCTCGTCAGATTATAAATACCGACAGCCCCGGTAATAAGTTATTCGCGCGCATCAAAAACTGGCCCGAATGGTCTGAAATTCATTCGTGATGACGATTCGTTTGAAATGATTGATTAATAAATGGAAATGATCAGAATAATTTCGTTGAATAGTTTTTATTTCATAACTATATGTGCCTAATATTTATATTTACAAGATTTCGCTGATCTAAACAAATTTGCTAATTTTTTTTCTTTTTTTTTTATAATTACTCATCAAATAACATGGGACAGAACAAGTTAACGGTTTTCTTCTTTCTTTTACATTGCGTGATCATGAAATTATTGAAGCAAACATAAGTCTTATAAAAGCCAGAATTAATCTTTCAACAAAAAAATAATTAATTTTATTATTGCCATTTCATCGTTCAAACCAATCTTGTGAAACTGTCAATTTTATGTACAATTTTATGGCGACGCCGCGATACCGAACTATTGGCTAAATGATTAATCTTCGTCGATGCGAAGACTAGCAATAGCTTGTTGGCATTCTCGTAGCGTTACAATTGATGTCGCTCGAATGTTTTTAAATAAAATTCTAATCGTTTTTAATATAAAAAATCAAAAATTTGGTTTACACTGAAATTAATTAATTCAACTAACTAAAATTACATACTAATCATCAATGATTTAAATTCGTGATTCAAGAAGCGTTTTTGAATACTTTAAATTTTCGAATTCAATTTTTTCGACTTTTTGTGCTCATCCAATACATATGTTCTGTGCACCTTTCCATAGCATTACCGAACGCAAGCATAAATATTTTACACTTCAAATTATATACAAGCACAACAATTGTCGAGTTTTAATTCGATAACTCTTAAAAACAATTGCTATTTACAAACGTATTCTTGGTTCAGTATTTTGCTTATAACTTTGTATCAGGCACCTATGTACAGAGAAGAAAAGTTAGAACATTTTTTAACCTTTCTCACTTTAGCATTCTTTTTACATACAAAATAAATCGCACTCCTGCGATTATCATGAAAATATAAAGATATCATTTATTTTTCATAGCTACTTTTGAATGCACCATTTTTGCAACTCTTTAAAATGCTTTTTTAGAACTAATATCTCTTTTAAGTTCAAATAATCTCGGTACTCTTATACTTATAAACAAGGCCTCTGCCAAAGATGTATCATTTTTTGATACAACTCGTATTAAATTCTTTTTTCATTAACGTTTACCATTATTCGCCCAACTGTACTTTGCTTTGAATTTATATCAATCTTATTTGGTGATGAGTGTCACTATTTTTTTTATTTTTGAGACAATTGCTTCACAGAGAATAAATTTATTTCAGCTTCAAGCTGTGATTTTCACATATATGAAAAATTAATGTAGCGCATATATACATTATAATATTTTTGTTTTATCTATCGTTAGATATTACATTGATTTCACTTATGTCTTCCATTATTAAATAAAAATACTTGTACATATTATAAAAAAAGAGATTTTTTACATCCGTGTTATTCAGAAAAGTTTCAATTAAAAAAATGAGTTAAAATATACCTTTCAACGGAAATTGCTTCGAAAACGAAACAAATGTTTTTGGCTCTCATTAAAACACTTGCTCAACCAAGTATAAGCGTATAAATGTTTTCCTTTTATAAATATGAAAGAGTTATCTTTTTTAACTACTTCTTCCAGTTCGCAATAGTACCACACTTTGTATCCTCATAACAAAAAACGTGTTTTTTAAAGCCAATAGTTGCAAACCCTTTTGAAATTATCTCAGACGATAATAACGTCATGAGGAGGAACGTAAAAAAGGGTTCTTAAAATAATTTTAACCTTAATTTAGATTTAAAACTATCAGACTCTAGATGATCTCATACTAATAATAACAGTCGCTAAATAAAAGACTATATCGCTCACAAAACATAAGAATTCATAACTTTCATTGCTACCTCGCGTGTGGCAAATTATTCGTCTTGATATAACACTTTTATGTATGTGGTTTTTGATCGACAGGTAGATACAAATAATTACTGTTACAATTTTTTCGCTTAGTCCAAATTTAAAACTTATTCTTCAATCTAAAATACAATATTTCATCAGCCGAAAGACTATCTCCGAACGAACTCTATAACATTTCGTAAAAAATAGCTCCAATATAAGTAATTTGAGTAGGTCGTAAAAAACTTTACTGCATGAGTATGTTCTGATTCTTAAGGCTGGGCACCGGTACTTTTGTGAAGTTTGCTTCAGCTGATCTTTAGTTGATTCCAAATTTTTCACTCAAGATCTTTGGTTTTTTTAATTACTTGTTCGCAGTAGCTGACTTTGCTCCAGAACTTGCACTCTCGCCTCCAGGCGATTTAGCTCGAGAAGAAGCATCACTTGCCGAAGAACTGGATTCTAGCCTTAATTTTTCCGACGACATAGATCCCTTCAAAAAGGTCAACTGAGCCATCGGACTCTCGCGTCTAGAGTAAAGAGCACCTTGCAGAGCCGGCCCGGATCCAAGAATACTCGAATGATCTGGACGACCTCGTTTCGGATGGTCTCGCCTACTTCTCCTCGGCAACTGTGAATCTGGTTTCTTTCTGTCACCCACCAATGTTCTCTTTAATATTTCGGCACCGGTGAAAAACAAACCAAACGTCGACGAAGTGGAGTTTGTCGGCGTTGGCGAGCTAGATCTTGAGCTCGACGGACTAATATCCGGACTATTGCATGGCGTCGTGGTCGGTGTGAAGCTCGTGTTGGCTGCGTTGGGCGTTGCTGCAGAAGACGAGGTGGTGGTTTTAACACCACGTTCGTTTAGTAACTTTGCGATACCGAAATTGGTGGAAAACGTAGAAGTAGATTCGCGGCGGCTGAGCGCGCGTGGAGTATTCATACCGGAATTAAAGGCGCTGTTGTCGACACTTGATATAATGCTGTTAGGTATACTGCTGGTCATTATGCTAGCGTCGTCCGGATGCATGACAGTGCTGTTGGTAAAGGTGTATACGGAGCCGGTGTTCTGAAATAGCTTACCAGGATAAGCGTCATACTCTTCGTCCTCTTCGAAGTCCATTAACGAAAACTTCTCCAAGCCGAGATCTTCAAGATTTTTGCCTCCACGCGTGCGGATTCCTGGTCTTTCATCTAACAATCCAGCTATAATAGATACGAAAGAATCTCATTATAATTTCTAATAGAAAAATTGAAGAAAAAAATGCATATTTTATGATCAATGTGGTTACCTAACGATGGAGTGGCAAGACGCGTCCACTGTCGCATTGTCGCTGAGCCTTCGAGCGGTTTGACGATTTGCAATTTTTCTGGCATTTTCCACATAGTTGAGCTGTTGGTACTGAGCCTGCTTAGATTGTCGCTGCTGCCAGTCGACATGATACTGTCAGGCGTACGACAGCCACCGTAGGCTACGTGGGAAAGCCCGTGAGGCGATGTCTGCACACTCGCGTCGTAGTCGTAATGATATCCGGCACCGCTACTCAGGCAAGCGCGCCTGGCCGCGATTTCCTCGGTGGTCAGTCGACGCAAAGCAGCTTCGAGCTCGGCAGCACCTGGAGCGCCCGGTACACCAGGCTTCGGAGGTCCGCTGCAAAGCATCAGGTCGGTCATTAATATTATTCACCTGTATAAATAACTGAAGCAAATCGACGACGTATTTATACTCACGGATATTCCATATCGTGCATCAAAGACGAGCCGTACTCGCTGGGAGCACCCGAACCAAGACTAGAGTATACGGAGTTGGACGAAGCGCGGCCCTTCATGGTCGAACACGAACGTGGCCCGAAGGAGCCGCTCGACATAATCGACGTAGTCATGGTACCGCCGAGCCTCGGATACTGACAAGAATCCGTGGTAGCAGTGATGGCTCTGTTGGCGATCTTAACGACGTCAAACGCCTTCTTGCAAGAAAGCCTGAAAAGTAGACGAAAAATGCGTGACGATACGAGCTGTACAAAAGCGAAGGATCGAGCAGACACGCTCGGGAATCGCTGTGTAATATACTTACGGGTTTCTGTCAGCGCTGATACCGGAATCCAAGCTCATCTCGGAAAAGAGAGAGCACTCCATTTCCGCGGCGATGCTGTCGGGCTGCGAAACGGTGGCCAACGACGGGAAGAGGCTGCCGCCCCGCACCGTCGGCATCTCGCGCTTGCGCTGCGTCTTCAACTGGGCCTGCAGATCCTCGAGCATGTTCAGAGCCTCGGTGTACTCGTCCTTGTACTTGGCCAGTTCCTCGGCGAGGGCGTTCTGCACGTCCTTGGACACGGCGAGGCTGGTGTTGACCTCGTCGTGCTCGGCCAGCAGCTGGGCGAGCTTCAGCTCGGCCTGCTGCAGACGCTCGAGCAGCCCGGTGTTCTCCTCCTGCAGCACGCGGCTCTCCTCCTTGTGGCGCTCGAGCTCCTCGACGATGTCGTGCACCTCGAGATTGGCGTTGGCCAGCTGGTCGGTGATGTCCTTCACCAGCTGGGCCTCGTGCTGCTCGCAGATGTCGGTCTCGTCGGCGAGCTTCGTGAACTCGGTGCGCAGAGACTTGTTCTCCTCCTCGAGCGTGCTGATCTTCTTCTGCATGGCGTCGAGGCTGACGCCCCGGAAGCAGCTCGAGTCCTCCGCCTCGGACTGTATGGACTCCTCGACATCGTTCGTAAGTACCTGTATGAGATCAGTCTTCTTCGACAGCTCGTACGTGAGCTGTGTGATCTTTTCGTTGGCGGTTTTGAGTTCATTTTCGAGCTCTTGTACCGTCGTTTCGAGCTTCTGATTGTGCGACAAGAGCTCCTTGCCGATCCGCGCCGTAAGCTCCAAATCCTTCTCTTTCTGTGGACATATTGTTCGTTTTAAAATTATCATTTTGCTTTTTCAGCGATCATTAAAATAATTAGAAATCAAGTTTTTGTTTTCACCTCCTCCAAGAGCCTTGTCACTGCTTCGATATCATTATAGGTCTTGGTCATTTGGCTCATGCGTTCGCTGCATAGAACTGAAACAAAAGCGTAATAACGTTGATCATTTGATCATCATTTCAAAGTATACAATAAAATTAATATAAAAATCATATTTCTTTGTACGTAAGCTCTTTCAAAATTCCAATACCATAAGTAAGACATAAGTTTCAATGCAATAAATTTTTCTTCAAATTGTGGAAAATATATCCCACATTAAGCTAACATATTTTTTAGCACGTGCTCGTTGACTTATACAATATACATACAGAGGCATGAAAATAAAGTGCATGATTTAGCGTAACATTATATACCCGCGCATAAAGTAGCCGCTATATGGCAAGACAATAAGCGTTGAAAACTCCAATGAACAAGACCGCGTCCTAGAACAATGAGTCGAATTATTATTTTTTCACAACTCAATTGTCTTCCAGTGGCGTCTTCGTGTGACACTTGAAGCGTCGTTGATGAGCCGACTTTTTTGCACGAATCCGTGTCGAAAAAAGCTTTTCTGGTTGTGGCTTGTTAAAAAAAAACTACGATTTCTCGGTATGTAAGCTTAGCTTCAATACAAATGCACACTCCTTGACCTCTTGCGCGCGTATAATAAAGCGAACGTGTACGTGTAAACGTATAAGTGTGTGTGTATATAGTCCAAGCTCGTTATCTTGAGCTTGCCAAAAGAGTGTGTGCATAAAAAAAAAGCGCCGTACAAACCGAATGAGTCGCGGTTACGATGAGCTTATATATCGATTTACGCGGGTTGTTTGTTCAACCACCTAGATGCTTTTGAGAAAAAAAATAAGGAAGCGGTGCTTTACGTGAGTCAAATTAAAACAGTGTGCAAAGGACGGATATTTCGATAAATTAATTTTATAATTGATAAATTTTCATTTTTAGCGTCGTTTGCGCTATTAGTACAGAAAATACAAGGCGTTTATCTGATACAAAACATTTATAAACAAGCTGTGTGTAATGACACTGAGAGTATTCATAAAAATAATTACAAGGCACTTTTATCACTGTAAGCCAACGGGTGTGCAATACACACACAAAAAAAAATTGAGAAAAAAAAAGACATTAAAAATTCATATATTTCGTTTGCGTTGAAAAAAAACTACAAAAACTCAATTGAACAGTACAGGGTGAGTCAGCCGGCGAGGCGAGGACGAAGATCGGCGTACTCGGGGCGATGCCGCAGCTCTGGCAAGTCCAAACAACGCTGGATTTGGCCGTGGCGTTATTGTTGCTGTTATTCGATTCGGAAAATTCCAGCAACAATCCTGTATTGCTGCCGTGTACGATATTCTCGTACTCGTCGTCGTCGCGCGGTACAATGTCATCGTCGTACTCGTACGGGTCGTCCTCGTCGTCTTCGACGTCTTCCTCGACGCTTTCATTCTTGTCTTGCTCCTGCTGCAGCGCTTCGTCATTTTTGCGATGATCGTCGACGTCGTTGCGATGAATTACCGGCAATGACTCGACCGCCGCCGATGACGACTCGGCTAGGATGTTCAAATTACCGTCCAGTCTTGCTTAGCTTTTTTTCGCTGTTGTTGTTTTTTTTTTATCGTCTACAAGAGCCGAGTAGTTTTTCTTCCAACGACTTTCAAGGTTTATTTTGTCACCTTCACCACAAACGAGAAAATCAATGAAAAATCGTTCGATTAATTAAAATCTCGAGATTAAAAGCTAATCAAGTTCACAACAAAAATCAAACATCATACTGTCGAAATCGATCAAACATCAGTAACTAACTAACGGAGAGAAATAGACGAAGCGTATCGGATATCGAGGCGCGAAATTTACACATCGACGACTCGACGAAAGGCCTACCATGATACCTAGAATACCTAGCTAAAATACCCGCCTAGCACAGAAACTCGGCACGTATACTTTGAGTATAAAAGTGTCGTTGCCCTCGCGCGCGCGCGGTAATCCTATATACACACCTGTCTCGGCGCAAACAACGCATCCCCCTTTTCTGGTGCTGTACATATAGTTTAAATATATACACGTGTTTCGCGACGTCGCGGTGCAAGTCACTCTCTTTTGCACTTGTTATGCCGTATGAAATTGCATCCGGAGCAAAGGGACAAAAAATTTGAAAAGATCCAAGAGACGAGTCGAGAGTGGTCTGAGCCGCGGCAGACGGTTTTTTCTCGATAAGAGTTGCGTCAAAAAATGGTATACGGATGCGGATGACGAGATGAATTCGATGTTCGTTAACGGTACAATAGCTGCCACTGCACGAGTTGCGCGAGAACACTGAAAAATGTGTTCTCGCGACGATAAAACGGTATACCCATTCTCCGCGACGAGCACTAAAAATGTTTATTCACGTAATAATTTTATGACATACTTTTCGTGGAGTACGCGCGGAGAAGAAAAAAAGTCAGAAATTAGATACTACTAGTGCATTGCAATATAATTAACCGACGCAATTTTTTGCAGATAATTTCATTTAATTTAGTTTTTACATAAAAAAAAAGTAATAAGAAGTCAGAGGTAAATTACAATAATGAACGAAACGTACGCGCGACATATGTATAATGATCAACGCTGCACATCGCGAATTCCTTAGAAAGTGAGCTCCCGTTGCGATGATACTTTCCAATCACAACAACTTCATTATTTATTTCTTTATTAAATAACGATATTAATTCGGATTCTGTGTTGTATAGCCGAGAGTAATGCTCGATGGGTATATGAGAAGTCATTAAAGTTTCATCGATCGCATGAAGTTACGCGTAAAACCTGTATACATTGCACAAAATGTTACAAGATGATAGAAGTACTTATGTACAGTTGGATATAACTTATTTTTGCGCGATATTGTCTCATCGGGAATATACACGATCATTACATTTGTTATGAAATTCTTTAGGTCGTTCATTGTATACATCGGAAAAGCTTCTAAAAGCGAAAAAAATAATTAATTACTCAAAAGCTCATGAACGAAGGGATAGAAATTTATACACGATGTGTTGCACAAAAGCGCGATATAATTTTTCTCCCGCGTCGACTGAATTTTAATCGTTTTAATCGAGTAATTAAGTTAAAATATGCACTTGAAGATCTCCGCCGCGAGGGCGCCGTATTGTACTTGCGATACGGCCGGTTGCGCAACTTCCATCTTTTCGAATGTAGGGCGCATGCTCTCGCAGCGATTCCCCCTTATGGACTGAACTTGGCATCGTTGCGCGGCGCGACCGACGTCCACCCCCCTTGTACGTACATAAAGCAACCTTTCCGTGTGCAACACATATAGAAACATATATAGAGCCTTTGTCATGCCAACCTTAATATGGATGTGCCGGTGCGCGTGCACATGCGATCTGTTCAACTTTTGCTCCGGTAGCGCCCTCAAGTTCGTACGAATTATGGGGAGTCTAAAAAGTGATCTTGAAAAGAGAGGGTCGAAATCTTCTATAAGAGACTCGTTGGAACCTATATGAAAAAAAAGGATATATATATGTAGCGCGAGCAAACGCGGCCTCGCCATGCGTTCGAGCGGTAAAATGCACCTTTGGCAATCTTACGTAAGATAGGCGCGAGCGCACGCGACAATAAACAAGCACCGTACACGCATCTGCTCGCGAATCGCTGTACAGAATTAAGTGCAGCTTTGACTAATTAGATGCTGCGCTTACAGCGGTATTAACAATATAAAATGTACGCATGCTTGCGCAGAATAGCTCGGCCGGATGAACGTTACGAGCGTATACGTAGCGCCTGGCTATGCAGTTGTAATTGAACTTGTCGCGTTTTAAAAAAAAGGATCGTATATACGTAAAACGCGATCGCGAGTATATGCATGCATGCGCAAACACACATACGCGCACGAGCATACACGCCTTTTATATACGAACAAAAAGAAACCTATTTTCCAATTCATTCAATTTTTTTTTGCTTTTATTTTTATACACGTAAAAGCTATGTTTAATCAGAAATGTATAATTCATTACCATAATCCAAGATGATTTAAATATATTTGTGCACTGAAGAACACAGTAAGATTGATTAAGAGTTCAGCGGGGCAGGTTTAATCTTGACAAAAAGATGTTTGAGTCTATGTGTGCATTTGCAAATACATTTTGTACATTAGAGTATTTTTCTTCTTGAATGGAAACACAGTCGGCAGTCGTACAGAGAAATGTTGTGCTGAGAAGGATTGTATCGCAGCGCAGATGTTTGCTAGGCACGTGTCACGAGACCTGTCGTCTTCTTTCTCTTCTTAACCGCAAACATCGTAATCACGCCCAATGACGTAGTAGTCGTCATTTCTCGGCGTAGACGGCGAGCTTCTCTTTTTTGCGACCCAAGTGTTCGCACGTATAGCCGCAAGCGTACAGTCGAAGCTATGCAGAGACGGATAGACAAAGAGTACGCGAAGCTCGATGCGAACCCCTGCTAATGCTGTACTTGCTTATTTTTTTTCTTGGTCGTTGACGTTATATTTTGCGTTGCAGGCTGATATCGTGAAACTTTTACTGCTCGGCGATGCACTATTTTTTACGAGTCTCGACGGTCGTGTGGCACTTGTGAAACATGTAGATGCGTTGGCTCGGTTCACGATGATCGTTGCGTTTGGACTGCATGGACGTTATTGGACATTTGTGCGCGAGTAAAAAAATAAACGAGCTCATTGCTGCGAGACGACGTTGAATTAATTGTCTTCATTGCATGGGCATCGTGTACAACACTTGTATATATGCGTATTGCTGCGCGAACACGAAAAATGGTTTGAACTGCGTTGGTCTCTCCGATACTGCCTACTATTGGTATTACACGCTACTGTGACACTTGGTGCCACTGGCTACTCGTGTTGCTGCTGCTGCTCTCTATATATATTCACATGTATATATGCGCTCTGGCTGCGATTCATCGATCTGCCACAGTCCGCATTGCCACCAGGCCTGGAGAGGGGCAGCAGCGAGAGTAAAACAGAGACGGAGAGTGAGAATTGAGGCAGGCGCGGGGTGGCACGGTGCACTTGCCAACGCGCAAACTCCGAGACGTGTTATCGCGAAGGCGCGAGTTACGATTTCGCACTATCATAGCCTCTAAAGCACTTCGTCATGCTCGATTCGGTTTATTATGAATACAAAAAAACATGCGTAGGAGTGAGGATTTTCTCTTTTAAAAATATCTCGATGCACAAAAGCCGCAGGAAACAGAGAGAACCAATAGGCAAAAAGTCATGGATAATTTAAAAAAAATGAAAATAAAAATGTCGGCTATTATTCGCAACAAGAATCGCGCCGCTTTGCCTCGCTCGCGATTGAACTTGAGCTCGAGCCTTTGAGCTCGAACTGTTTCCTACAAATAACGTATAGTCGATCGAATCTTACAGAGAAGCCTTTTCAATGTCGATATAGCGCTTAATATATAGATTTGAAAAATTTCAACGCCGATTATATATTTTTTTTTACATAATACTGCGTCCAAGCGCAATAGGCGCGCGTGGCCATTACATAAGCTTCGTACAACGGCTATTAACGAAAGACCAATGACTTGCACTGCGTTTATACATACGCGAACGAATGTATAATGTTATATACATCTAGACGTATATAATAGCAATTCGAGTGTATAAAATAATATAATAAGAAAAATAATAATAACGTCACGAGTATATCACGTGATTGAAAAAAAGAAAACTACGTCGACTCGAGCTTTATCAAATGCGTAAATACAAAAATAAGGCGGCGAGTCATTCATGGGCTTCCGCGCGACTTTTGACGAATGATCGCGTCCTTGTCACCGAGCGCCTGCAAGTCGCAAGTGCAATATAATATCGGAGCTGCAGAGGAAAAAAAAGAATAAAAATAAAGCGTAAATACGCGCGTAATTCGTAAACGATATGATTTTTTTTCCTCCTTCACCTGTGGTACACACAACAGGAGCATTTGTTTTTTGCATTACGCGAAATAATTATTGCCCGTTATAAAATGTTTCGATCGAATTTCTCAACTGCGTCGTCTATACTTCTATATATCTCGATGTTATCATCGCGGCTCGATCGTGCGCGCAAGATTACTCGGAAAAACTCATATCGCGCGCGCATAAGATATTCTTCGTATAGCGGTGCACTATATACGAGCGTCTTCAATTTAACGAACTAATTTTCCTTCGGCTAAAAAGACGAGCAGCATGTATAACATGTATAATAATTACATATGTACGGGCTCGTTACTCGCGAATACACAATATACATACACCCTCACGCGCGATTAATTACGCGGCGCGCGAACTTTGCACGCGCCACTTTTTTTCTCTTTTTTTTTTCTTCGTCGTAATCGGCAAAAACTAAGGATGTGATATAATGCGTGGCGCGCGGCGTTATCGGGCGCGAACTCGTGGTGTGTGTGATATTATACATTCTATACATTATGTACCGTTGGCAAAACGCAATATATGCGCAGCGTGCGACGTATTAAAACGGTTAAGCCGATAAATAATAACGACCTTTTACGGATCCGTGCGCGGTTAGTTGATTAATTATTTTACCTTCAAAGGCGGAAGAGAGGGATAAAGGTAAAGCCGAGACGAGGCAGGCATCAGTCACGGGCGCGGGCGCGATATACGGGTACCCCGCGCCGCGTCTATTAGGTGCGATTTTGCAGCGCGCGAGCAGCTGATGGATAGCCATTGTTTCATTATATCACAGTGTACTTATAGGGAAAAGAATAAAGATCGCCGCCGCCGTAGACTCGTTTAGCGAGACGACGAGCGTCGATCGCGCGTACCGCAGTGCGGCAAGAGCCTTTTATATATATTATAATACTGCACTCGCATCACATGCAGCTGCGCCGTACGCCAGCGCGAGCGATCCTGACAAATGGCCGTTTATAATGTATACGTCCTAGTATTAATGCGCTACATTTTCGCGTGCATAATGATGGCTCTTTTTTTCTGTCCTTCTTTCACTGTAATAATATCATCAACGTCGAATCCGAGACGCTTGGCATTCGACGAAAATTACAATTGCGCCACACAAGCGCGCTTGCAGCGCGTGTACAGGTACGATCCAACACGAGCCTCGGCTTGCGAAAGTATTACAACGCGATCCATCTCCTTCTCTCGTGGCGCAAAACACACATCGCATAGATATCTGGGTAAATCGTCGTCTTGTATATAGGGAGAGATAATTTTCCCGTCGATGATCGTGAGACGAGGCACTACTCGCCTGGCAGCGTCGAGCATCTCGCGGAGCGATTTCGCCGAAGAAAAACAGATTCTCTCGGTTGCAATGAGGGCCTTGTAACGTGCACACACGTGCACATCAATTTATTATTCGCCCGCTCATAATACGAAGAACAGTTACATACTTATAGGTACGTGCCGTGTACATATAGGCCGCGTGTACTCTGCCGAGAGAGAGCTTTTAACTATACGAGAGGCGTACATAAATTAAGCCTCAAAAGTTCGCATCGCGTCGGCCCAATAGGTGCAATGAGTCTCAAGACACATAGACACTCCATAGCAGGAGGATTCTGTTTTGCTGAAAAGAAAATTCGTACCTACGTGCGGACGCACACGAATAATCGTGAGACGCGCTGGCGCACGATTTTACAGTAATACATGCGTGTTTGTATATCCGTGTATTTATATAGACAATACCTTTGTTGAGCAGCATCGTCCTGATGACTCTGATGAATGCCTTGCCGTGTCTCGTTCTCGCGACGTGGAACAAAAAATCGCTGACCTGGCCCTCGGTCTCGAGGATGTCCGTCTCGGACGCGAGGGTCTCGCGCATGTCCTCGACTCGCTCCGCCGCCGTGCTCTCGTCCCTGCGGTCGTAGCCGCGCTCGAGGTACTCGACCACGCCGTAGTCCTCCCACACCTCGTTCTCGTCGTAGGCATCCTCGCCGCAGTCGTCGTCTTCGTCGGCTCCGCACGATCTCGTGCTGCCGTTGTGGCTGGTGGTGTTTCTGGACGAGCTGACACCCGACACGTCGAGAGCCAGCGCGGCGAAGGTCGGCGTGGCGCGAGTGCGCGTCGAGCCGAGCCTCGGTGACCGTTTTTCGCTGCTCGCCGGTAAGCTGCTATTGGCGGTACCGGCTAACGTGCTCATGGCATATCAAGATGCTTCGTGGGCGCGCTCTCGAGCGTTACCGTTCGACCTGTTTGTTACATCAGCGGCTATCGGATTATCACATTTATGGGCAACGTTTGTTTTACGATATCTTTCGAGCAAGAATGATTGACTGGTTGAAGCTTTTCCTATTGTTATACAATTGTAAATTAACGAAATGTCAACGAGTCACGTTTTGAGGGTCTTGTCATTTCAGTTGCATCGTGCCAGAGTGAAAATTAATTCGCGTCTCGCATAGTAGCTGCTGCTTGTTTAATAACATCGCAGTAAACTGATATTTTTTAATCGTCAACCTCGCAACTCTAACTTTGGTCCCTGGATGATCGTTCGGGCTTTAATTTATACGAATTTATAGTTGTCCATTTGTTTCATGACTCACGGTTAGTTATACCGCGAGGGAAGAACAAAAACTTAATTAGAACTTTCTAACTGAGAGTTTTAAACTTGGATTTCGGATACATACGTATACCCACCATTTTTAGCGTTAATAGGTACGTATAGAAACGTCGTGAGCGCCGAATGTAATTTGTGTATAAGAAAATTTGGCAAGAGCATACATGTGCAAGTCTTATTCGTACACGATAATTTTAACCTATAATCTCGAGTTGACTTTCTCTGTGCCTTTTTAGCCAAATTGCACATGCGCCTATTTTTCAATCACAAAATTAGGATAGGTAAAAATAAAATTTAACATTTTGCCATTGATAATACTTGTTTGTGTGAGTATAATGAGCAGAGATTAATTTAAAAAACGGCAGTTCCCACTGTTTCAAGCATGCACGAAGAAAATTTCCGCGATGATGTTTATTAAATGGAAGAGAAAGGATATAATGACGTTTAAATCAGTTTTCCTTCAAAAGTGGACAAAAAATAAGGGCAATGATTGAAGAGAGAGATGAATGTCAATTACAAAATTGGTTGTAGATAATGCTTCAAAGTTTAAATCGACAGCGATATAAAGTAAGAGAGCTAAAATGTGATTATAAGTACTCGTAAAATTACGAGCGCAATGTATGGAGAGCTTGAGAATAATGAAAAATGAAAGGCTATCTCGAGCTGCTATTTTCTAAAAATAGCATGTGTGGACGGGCAATAGTTTGCTTGAAAAATAAGCCGAGAAAGAGGAAACGAAGTATCGAATGCTGCGAAGAGACAGACGTTTTTCTTGTACGTACGTATGTATGTATGTGAATTTTAGTAAATGCGAGTCGTGCGAGAACACGGACGATCGTGAGTACAGAGCGCTTTAAAATTACACTTTTCGTTTTTCTCTGGAGTTCTTGTATCATTGTACCATTGGCAACCTTACTTTACTATGCCCCGAGCATCTTCCAATTCGAGCATCAAGCTCGATAAAATTGAACCTACGCGACTGGCTTGGACGAAAAATAGCCGCTCTGCGGATACGAGATAACTCAAGTAATTGTCAAGCGGCGACAAGTACGAAATTGAAGTTTGGCTGCGGTTTAGGAGCGCGAACAATACGAGTATAAGCTGCGCGACTCGACTTAAGCCGCGTATAAGATTTATTATATGCAAAGACGCATGCAAAACCACGGGTCGCTCGACTTTCGCTACGACGTGTATATTTATTTCCCCAACGGGTTAGCGACGCGGTGGTCACGATTATGCCACTCGAGTCGTATCCTACGCTCCTTTTTTTCGTCGTTCAATGCAACGCATTTCCGATCTCGAAGGCTCGCTCGCGCTATGGTGAAAAAACAATAAATAAAAAGCTCGCCGAAACAATCGAGTCACCGCCTATTATATTGTGTATAATTAGCGAAAGCTATGCAAAATTTATTAGAGCATTATTTACAGGTTTGCGCGAGATAAAAAGCCCCGGCACGTTTGCCGGAGTGCTTCGTGCCGGCCGGTCGGATAAAGAACCGTACGAAAAAAATCTATTATATTCAGTACTTAGGCGAAAAAAAAAACAAGAAACAACGCTCTACGAGGTTATTATTTTGAATGTAAATGAATCGGTGCTAAGTGATAATAAAAGCATACACGCGGAGGCAGCACGCCGTACGCCACTCGCTAACGGTTCACGTCTAATATCTCGCGTGGTACCTTCATATTTTTGCATTTTAGAAAGTGCATTTATCATAATGTACACACTCTGTCTATTTTGAAACTAGGCGCGCGAACGAGATGGAACAGTGAGGTAGTATTCCTTCTTTGCAAAGTCTCGAGTCTCGATAGTCTTTTCATTACGTTTTTCGAGAAGCCTGACGCGTGTGCGATGTGCACGCGTCCGAGTCGCGACCACGTCTAAGCGCAATTCAATATAGCTAATACCACCCGCGTGCGTGAGAGCCGAAAGAAATGCTAGACGCCACTTCCTGACTGCACACAACACGACCAGCGTATAATGTACTCGCACGCAGAAAATTAATTACATCGTACGTCAGGTGTTCACTGTCAACTTTAAAATTTTAATATCCCCATGTATTTCTCTATGGCTTCGATAATTAAATTCTCTGTTAATACTACAGCTTATTCGTGCCGAGGCAATAGGAGATGTTTCATCGACACCCGCTATGGGTGCCGCTGAGCGCGAAACGCGTTAAATAGGCTCGTATTACCTCGGCGTTTACTTTATCCACTAAGCGAGTTGGTGTTTTTTTTTCTTTCCTTCTCTTTTCTTTTATCGATAATAATGACTTTTTGTCGTCGTCGCGCTAGGCCCACGTGGTTCAAGTAATTTTTAACGCGTAATATAACGCGCGCTTTACTATTATTAAGACTTCGTGAGCTGAGCAGCCCATTTTACGACACATTTTACGATTATATATTATAAATATGTTTTGTTCTATAGGTTCACGATACTAATAGTACATTTTTTAGCGATGAGTTGAGAGATAGAGACTCGAGCTCGAGTAATGTATTAGAGTGTACAAGTCGTGACATTAACGATCGAAACATGCTGCAAGTCAACTTCTTCGTTTTGTGCACCTTATGTTTGGTAAAATTTCGTCTTTTCGTAATTGGTGAGTTGAAAAAACACTATCATAAATTGAATGAGCCACTCGAACGGAATGTCAACAATTTTTTCTCGAAAGGAGTGCCATTGAACGACGGGAAAAAAGCGGAAATCGGCGAATTCAAATATCAAGTGGCTCTACTGGAAGAAGATGATTACATAGCCAACTGCGGCGGGGGCATAATTGATGCAAAATTCATTTTAACGGCTGCTCATTGTGTCATCGATCCAATTGAAAATGAATTTAAATCGACTGGTCTGTTTGTGATGGCGGGTGCCGTTGATCTCTACGATAACTCGGAAGTTACAGAAAAGGTCAGAGTAATAAAGATATGGGTACCAGATGAATATCCTGATAAAAATGCCGATCCCGAAGAACCATATTTGTCAACGGGAGACATAGCTGTATTAGAGGTAAGCTTTGTCCAAAATTATCGTGAAAAATTACATTGAAAACTGGTGATTGATTTTCCAGTTAGTGCATCCACTGACGTTGAACAAAGTTTCGTCAAACCTGCCAGAACTCAATAAACTGGATTTACCAACGGCTGACTCGGATTACGCCGACAAAACTGCCGTGATCACCGGTTACGGTTTGTACAACGTCGACTGGACGAGCATGAAGTTCGACGAGCACGATCAAGTGATCCACATCGGCGACGACACATCGTCCAACAAACTTCATCACGCCGAAGCTCGAGTGATCAGCAACGAAGCGTGCAAGTCGACCTACCATCCTTCGATAAAATCCCGACACTTGTGCGCCAACGTTTTGCACTGCCCGCGCGGCCAATGCAGCAAGCCGGGAATATGTCAGGTATGCAATAATGATAGTAAGAAAAAGCACAGGACGTAAAACTGGATGGATAGATTGAAATGCAATTTTTTTGCTCCCTATATCCGAACTACTTGCTGATGCGCACACACACACAGGGTGACAGCGGAAGTCCGCTTGTTCTCGATGGCAGCGTCGTTATTGCCGTGGCGAGCTGCGCCTCGCTCCTGTCGAACGAAAGGATTGATTTTGCCATTTATACGCGAGTCTCGTCGTACTTGCGTTTCATTGAAAATGCGATGGCTGGAGTCGAGTCTACCGACGCGCGTGTAGCCACTTGGAACGACGAAAGTAAGATGTTTCAAGAAAGACAACAGTAACTTAATTGATAAATGATCATCCATTAAGTTGACACGAGTATTTTTCATTAGCGATGATCTTTCAACAATTTGATTATAATCTTCGAGACTTGTAATTGAAATTCATTGTTTTTTTTCGATTTCTGATAATTTTTTACAAAAAAAAAAAAAATGAGTCGTTTGCATCACTTACAATCATCATATGAATACTCGTGCAAACGACCTCGATCGAGAATTTCATAAACATACAAAGAACTGCAATAAACAACCCGTATTCGCGTATGTAATTTGAACATCCGTCACGCACGTACAAATAGATCAGAGTTGGAAAACCAATACAGAAAAAGAGCATGAAGTGCTCGATTCAAGGTTTGACAGATTCGAGTTTATGATATACTGCAACAAAACGAATAATAAAATCGTCTTCGTCTTGACGAAACTTACGTAAGAAGGATAATATTTTCGAGAAATTTAGAGTGTCGCGTACAAGCGCTCAAGTTTACGAGTTGTGTATATGACACAACGCGTATCTCATCACTCGTCTTATCTTTCTTAACAGCTAAAACTATATATATCTGTACACGGTAGCCAAGAAAGACTGTTTAGGTCATTTTCCAGTTTATCAAAAAAGCTTTTGTAGATACAAATGGGATACAAAAAGTCCAAACTAAAAGATTCGAAATTGAATGAAAGTTGGGGACTTTTTAAATAAATGCAACAGCTGCTGCAAGGTACTTCTCTTTTAATTCAATCTACGGAAGCCAGCGACAAAAAAAGATATTAAGTATTTATTTTTTTTGCGTTCGGAATCGCAGAAAATAAAACGAGACGAGATTACTTTGTTTGCTTTACGAATTTTGAATTTGAAGCGTCATTGCAAATGAAAAAAAAAAGTTCAATGAACATATCGCAGAGAATCCATTAAACGCAATAAATCGCCATTTACTTAGCGTGTCTTAGTTTTAGAAAATGAATCTCTCTCGCGTGCGCCGACATTCCAGTGCAAGGTATAAATTTAGAATTTTGAAACGCGTACCATGCACGATTAGCTTGTTTTGCGTTACACATATTTTTACGCTTTTTGATTCAACCAGATCGCGGAAAAATAAAAATAACCTAGACTCTCGGCCGAACAAGTGGCGAAAAAGAGTCGGGCAGGGGTCAGAGAGAAAAGTCACCGATAAACTAGAGCTTCCGCACACATGGGCGCGCGATATAGCAGTTGATTCAACATTGCAACCGCACACAGTGCATTAAACACAATTTGCGGCGAGTCGATGAAAAAGTGGGACGCGGGAAAGAAGGTTTTCGAGTGTTTACAAACAGTTCACGCAGCGAGGAGGGGGGCATTCTCGCATCGATCCCTTAAATATACATAATAAAAAGCTTTCGCTCGCCTCGTCGATTAATTACGCGAAGGAAAAGACGCGCTAATCTTCAATCTCAATCTGACGCGTCGCGCGATGTGATGAATGAATTTTCGCGCGCGCCACAAACGGCGGGATGAAAATATTTTGCATTCTCTCCGCGAATTTTTGCAGCGGTCGTGGTCACCGTCACAGATCGACGCGTCGAGGGCATATTTAATGTATAATTGTTATAAACACGCAATTTTATTATTATTTGCATGAATTACTTTAACCGAAAAGACGTTGGAGCATGAAATGCACCGACGAGACGCGGTGAAAGTTTTCATATATTATATGCTATATACGGAATGAAAATGTTTCGCATTCGAAAACCGCGACTCATATTTTCCCTCGCATATTATAAACGCCCACGAAATTATTTTTCACATTGTGTATAACGCGATGAGAGACTGCAAATTCCCAGCTGCACGCGTGATTCAGAATACGCACGTGATCTGTGTGTATACGGACCGGCAAGAGATTTTTCGCACATTTTTTTATTTTTGTCTGCCCGTGGAAATTAATATAATTTAGCGAGATGTGCGAGTGTGTGTGTGTATGCTCGAAAGAGATGCGAACAATGGCACCCGAGACGCGTTTTCTCTTTCGCCGAAATCGTCGGATTTTCGCGGCAGATACACGCGGGTGAATGAACATTACGAACGCGTATACAGACAGAATGCGTGAAAAAATTCCAGTTGTATTATCACCTATCGTGGCTAATTTGAGCTAATTAAAATGAATTAATGCTATTGAGTTACAATGGTAATCTCGTAACCGTTCTTATACAAATAAAATTAGCCGTTACTCCATACGATTAACACTGTCAACGAAATCATTGAAAATAATTGTTAGAATCTGGGAATAAAGATAAAGTAAAGAACATTTTGTTTTATTAGAAATATGTGTGAAAATAACATTGAAGAGGCTCTTCAATTGAACAGACAGAAGTGCATCAATGAAAACTGAAGATATCTCGTGGTTTCTAGTTGGTAAAAGTTAACCGGAACATGAATCGATCGGGCGAAGTTATCTTTCCAAATAGGATCCTTGCGCTTATTCGGCGGAATATGACCCGGTTGAGAGCTCTCGCGATGGCCTTGATTGAACTCCACCGCAATTTTCGTGCACTAGAATACTCGCTATTTTTTTTTTTTTTTTTTAGCAAGGGATATGAAAACGAAAACCTATCGCGAGATGAAAAATGACACTTGGCTAGTGTCGCTCGCGCGCCCCAGACACTTGTAGCGTAAACCGATGTAATAACGGTCTGTATTGAGAAATTTACAGGTCGATCGAGACTTCGGCTAGACGTTAAAAAAAAAGAAAGAAAAAAAAGTAAAAAAGTGTGTTCAACGGATGGCCGATTTTTGCGTGAAAACAAGAGCGATAAACTTTAATTAGTCGCTTGCGAGCGGGACTATATAGCCATAATGACTATTATACATCTGCTGCAACTCGTCGTTGAGATTTTATTTTAAAATTCGCCCTCAAAACAATTGACTCGCAGCCAAATGTTTTAAGGTAGTACCAGCGCCGATACGGTGTTTGAGACAACATCATAATAACGACGAGCGACGAGAAGATATTCGGTACACGATCGAGTAGAAAACCATGTGATAGATCGATCGGTGTACGTCGACTTTCTACAACTACCGTCGTCTTTTTTTTCTCTCTCGCGCAACTGTCAAAAGTCCGAATAAGAGAAGCGTCATCGGCGGCGGCGGTGGCTGCTGCACGAAAATTTCATCGTAGCGTTGAACGCGTTGCCGCTTCACCGTTATCGCATTGAATACGGGCACGAGCCGAAACAAATTGGGCGTGCGCGCGTGTGTGCAGTCGAAAAAATTAAAAGACCACTCTCTTGGCTTTTCGATGCGTCATTCGAGCGTATTAATTTGTATTATACATCTTCGGTTCGGGCCACGAGGTTATGTCACGTTCCGTATGTATAATCGAAAATACATTTGACGGGTCAGTAGAGACGAAATTTTCTTTTTTCCCTCGACATTCGGTAAGTAATGATCACTATTAATCGCAATTCAACCAGCCAATTTCATTCTTTCTTCGGTCGAAAAATATCGTAAACAAGGTAACAGTGAAAAAAGAAACAGCTGAACTCTTACCGTATAAAAAAGTATAAAAAAAGCACTTGAAAACTTGGTGCACCGAGTCACATTGGCACGCCACGAAGAAGCACAGCGCGGCGTCGTCACTCGTGCCTGCATATAGCAAGGCATTCAACACTGTCAATAGTACGTGGGCCTTGGGCCTTTAATGTTTGGTATATAATAATATATAAGGGGCAGCTCTTGTGAGTTTCAGCCGATAACATGTGTGTGTACAGATAAACACACGAGACGGACGCGGAACCGGAGAGATGCGCAGCTGACGACTTCGCGTATGAAACTGAAGTCTCGCACTACCGATGCGAGCCGGGACTAGAGTGGCTGGCGCTGCTCATTCCAGTCAGCCGCGCGATCGTCGTGTGCTTGCTAGCGTGCGTCCATGCGCCTGCCGCGCCATTGGCGCGCGCGTACATACGAAAGCCTGTATAGCTATACATATCGAAGCTGTACTGATATATAGGTATATAGTACAACACGTAATAATATTTTGGCTGCGCGCGCCGATCTCTGACACTTGTGCCTTCGCACATTTACTCGCTATCGTCGATAAGACAAATTTTCGTACTTCAATCGGCTCCTATGTACCGCCGACGATATTACATGCTGTGTAATTATATTCTATAGCTGTCTCGTAATTACGCCGATTACGTCTTTCACGTATACAGAAAGCTCGAGTTTTCTTATACTTTTTCCAGTTGAAATGGATGTAGGCGCGGGCGGTAATACTTATATCATCGATGAGTTTAGGCTCTATACAGTTGAGAGTGACCTTGACGAAATAGCGTTTGCCTCATAATGCGATAGTTGAACTGCTACGCTCGCCGTACACACGAGCAGCTTTATTTTGCAGGTGAAATTGAGTGTCTTGCGATGCAGTTGACATGCACGAGATGCTTTTTAAAATGGCATTGAATTAAAACAGGACTGATCGATAGTCGAGTCACGATTTTTGACTTTTCGACGTTCTGCCGTCTACTTGCCTGTTGCGAGAATTGGCAATCAGCGCCGAATTTTAGCTTCGAGTTAGAGACCTCGTGTTGACGCTATAGAAGAGGAGAGAGACTCTTAATTTCGGATAAACTAGTGTTGCAGTAATTTTTACTTTCTCTAAATTTTTAATTATGACTTCTCTTCGAAATTCTAAATCGAAATTGAAAATCTAAATGATGCAGGTAATCGTTGTCAGACATTTACATGAAGAAATCCTTTTCTCCTTTGTATTGTAAGTTAAAAGTAAAACGTTGAAATGAAGTGCATCGTAAAATCGCAAAATCAAGGCAAGGAAATGCCTGTACTTCACGAAAGAATTTGCTTCTCTTCCTCTTTATCTTTCTTCGCCAAGAGATGGAAACTGGAAACATAAGACAGCCATAAAATATACTCTAACGAAAACTTGAGCAATAAGTAAAGTCTTTCAAGTAGCACTTGCAGTATTTCATCTTTTAACAAGACAAAATATTAAATTTAGAAAATTCTTATTCTTCTAAAAGTTTTTTCATGTTTGGCAGTCTTGAAAACAGCAACATGCTTTACATTACTATTTCCAAATAAAATATTGCTTATCTTCTTTTTGTTTTGAAAAATAAACAAAACACTCTGATAAAAAATGATGAAAAAATGTAACGTTAAGGCATTAAGCCTAAATACATTATAACAGCATACTTAAACAGATACAAAAAACTCTTGATTACCTTTTACACATTTAAAGCGAATAATTTAAAGGATAGTACCTCGAGTTGTACTCTCGAAGCTCGATAAAAACAAGCAGAAGTCAGGTAACGACGGTTCGCAAGAGAGAATATAAACGAGCGAAAGACTCGACCGATCGCGGGAGTCTCTCACGCTTACAAATTGAGTAACGTGCAACTATCAACAATGAAACACAGTACTTTTTCCATTTAAGCTAGTGTAAATACTTGGTCTTCACACTTTTAGGGGTTATGCGCTTCAACTTAAGACACACATTTTGTTCAATAAGCTACCAATGCATATCATCGATAAATCTTTATACAAATTTTGTATTGGCCCTTCAATGTAGTCAGCAATTTTTCATTTTTAAACCAATGTATAAAACATAACTACTGTATATCTACATGTAAAATTACGAATGAAAATGATACATTTTTAACGAATCTTTTAAGATATTATTGGTGATTGTTTTGAAATAATCAGGGTGAATTTGACATTAATTTAAGATTTAACAGTATAAGTATTTTAAAATGATTATCAATTGCGAGTAAGTATTAGGATTAAAAAATGTCTCACCAAAATCTGCAAAATTGCACCTAACGTAACTCAGTGGAATCTCTATGGAAAGCACACAACTGTAACGATACACATTCAACAGTGAAAATAATTTCTCTCACAGTGAGAAAATTCCATTAGCATAGAGGAACATCGCCTGTTACAATTATGCGGCATATTTACAATAATAATCCACATTCCACACTCACAGGTGTGTGCGCGGGTAAATCGTGTATACTGCTCGTAATAATAAGAAAGCATATTCTGCGCACACACGCAATGCGATAAAAAAAAATATGATCGCACGCGTGCAGACTGCACTGAGAGAAATGAGAATTGTGCTGTTGTTGCGCGGGTACATTTTCCATGTGTGTATAATATTATACACACGTCTTTTTCTTCTGCGTTCGCTCTGGTAACGGATTTCGAGCTCTTCAATCGAGTGTTCATATAGCCACAAACATGTGCAGTTAAGACGAGCTCGCATTAAGCTTGATCATCGTCGAGTAAAAAACAACATTATTGTCGAGACGATCATTCATGTTTTGCTTTGTGCGTCGCATCTTGATTGAGTTTCTTCTATAATACATCTCTACTTCTGCTTTGAACTGCTCGCGTATTTATTAATAATAATTTAATACAGTATTAGAATTTTGTAAAGAAGCTTACGTTCTCACCTTTTACAAATTTATTTATACCACTAATTGCGAAAATGTTCACAAATTAATTATAAAAATAAATGGACGTTTGTACTCACTGAAATAATTAAGAGTTTCGCGGATCTGCTCCGGTGTTAAGCCTAAACTTTCGTCGTGCTCAACAACTTTGGCCGAGGGTATAAACCAGTCCTGGTTCTCGTAACCTGCAGATTGTTAATTGCCATCGTTAATTTTTGTTTTCAACGTTGTACATAGAGATGAATACAATTTTCCATGCGAGGGGGGGACTTACCTCCAAATTCAGTGAGTGTGTCGGCGCGTAGGGTGTACTTCGGGATCTGTTCCGTTAGTAGACTGATTATCTCAACCTCCGGTAGCTCGTCTCTGCTGCAGACCTCTGTAACACAAATCGTTTTTTGCTTCAATTTCATGCCAGCCAATCAATGAACGCAAACTCCCTTCTCCGCGTTCCATAATGCATATAACATTTTTTTTCGTTTTATTTCTGGATTATACAAGGTTTACATAAAGAAATAATATCGATTTTTTTGCTCTTATTTTAACGTACGTAAGCCCGTTTGACCTTAATTTATGGGGTTGCTTATCAAAATCGATATAATACGCAAAATGTAATGATGCATGTACAAAACATTACTGTGAACTCTTACAGTTTCATATACGACTACGAAAAATCGTCTCCTTCACATTACAAGCGACAGGGACATAAAAATAAAAATGGGGGATCATTAAGCATCGCCGTTGATGTCAAAATTGATGCAAATTAATCGTTAGTTATACGCTATCAAGAAGATTAACGCGTTTGTGAGAATGAGAGAGAGAGAAAGAAAATTGAACGTCAAAAACTCGAGACTGTCTCGCGTCATTCCCGCTATATGGATACCTCTGATCGCGTCAAGCTCCTCGCATTTTCAGGTAAATCGAGAATAAAGAAGACGTCCGCGAGTGTCATACGCGCGGCGAATTGGCCAAATGAATATATACAAGTTATACATTGAGAAATATATTTCTAACGTCTTGCGGGCAATCAGCCGCAGACAGCACGCACACATATAATACACTTATTTGGGATGTGTGCGAGTTTTAAGCAGCGAAGAGTAACGAGCGATGACATTGGACGAGCTAGAAATAGAGAGAGAGAAAGAGAGAGAGGTTTCGCTCACGATGTGTTTTTGTATCTATATAAGCAATGTCGAACTTCTTTAATGGCCCGAATACTCGCGTACAGCATCCCTGTCTGCGATGCGGCGATCTTCAATTAGCGCACAATGTGACTGTATAGCGAATCCGTCCGCTTGGCCAATTCCAATTGGGAGACTTACGTTAATGCAGAAATATTTGAGCCAAATCGGGAATATCGCTTGAAAGAAAACGTAAGTGAAGAATCAAATTCAAGTTGGCTGATTTTGTGGACGATACGAATCTTTCTTTCTTTCTCTCTCTTTCTTTCTCTTTTTCCCATAATTAGCACAGTCGAGTTCGGCGAACGCGTAATATAGCAGTGAGATGTACATGTATGCGGTCGTTCGAGTGGAACGATCGCTGCCGTGCACTTTTCATTTCATTAGGGCAAGCACGCTAATAGCCACGAACCAAATGGAAAGAGGCTAGTGCATATAGTACTTACGACCATTTTTTACATTTGAAAAACAACAACAATAACAACAACAACAAATTGTCGGTACTTTGATAATAGATAATATCTGAGAATTGAGCTTAGACTGCGAAGGCGCTAATTTAAACCGGAAGTATAGCTCATTTCCCTAATTTATAATGTGAGAGGGTTGGATAACAGCTGTATCGGTTAGCTAATAACATGTATATACGTTAGCAACGTGACCCCTACCATCTCGCCACTTGCTCAGTATAGCGTCGCGCTTCTCTCGCGCGTCCTTGAACTTGGCCGGGCCCCTGGGCCTAGTCAGACGCGAGCTCCCTGCTCCCAAGAACATAATACAATAACTGTGCGGGCTCTGCTGTTGATATAGGTATCAATCCGAGAGCTTTCGATTAATCATCTTTCTCTGAGCGCATGCTACGGCGAGTTGTCTGCTCACTCTTGAAATTTGTTGTCCGTCGTTGCCGTTGTCACCGGCGCAACGATCATATGTGTATATATAGTAGAATCGCGAACTTTACGGTATATAAATTTTCTCTCGCACACTGCAGTGTTCTATACCCGACGAGTTATAAGCACACTTTTGTTTGGCTCGAAGCGCAAATGATCTATGAGTTCGTTCACATTTTCAATTATAATTTTTGCCTCCTCTCGTTGGTATTCTTCCTCGGAAGCGTATTTTTAACCTACAGGTCGAGTTTCGGTGCTTCGGGTGCGAAACGCGACGAGAGGAAGTGCAGCGCCGGCATATCTTCCACGAAGAGCAGCAGTCGTCGGCCGAATTCCGTCGTCTTGATAATTTTCCTCGACGGTATTCCTATGTATGACATTATTATGCGCCGGGGGTGTCGCGCGAAGATTCGCTATACGTCGCAACTGATCTATCACGTCTATCCATCGGCCTGGCAAAGTGTATCTCTGTCTTTCGCCGTAGACGCTTGCGCCTCGTTGTAACCCAAATATTTGCGCCTCTTCTCGACTTCGTATTACAATACATATGTGTATACTGGAGCACAACGAACGACTTCACGGCTTCGAGTCTTATTATACATGTATATGTTTAATTTGCCGATCTATGCCAGTTTTTAACTTTATTTCTACAACGAGGATCGAGGAGCTTTTTTTCGTCACATGGTGCCGCGACGATTACTGGTACGCGACTGCGCTCATATTAAAAGCAGATGCGGCAATATAGGTTGTTGCTGGCGTCGAGGTGCCGTGCGGCTTGCAGACTCAATACTACTCGCTAAAATAGCCCCGCCGCGCGAGAACGCCTTTATACTCTCTGCCACACACGTTCTATATGCTTAAGTGTGCGTGTGTGCGTGTGTGCGTGCGTGCGCGCGTGGGCTTTCGCTAAAAAACGCGCAGCGCATCAGCGCCTGGACGAGAGCCAAAACAACCGCGCGCGCACTGACAGGAAAGAGCTTCTCCTCGATATATACGTATTATTACGTATACGCAGCGGGCCCTTTTGTTGTTCCAAGAAAGAGAGTATAGAGAAAAGAGAGCGACGTCGCGCTTCTCGTTCGTCGCTTAGCTCCGAGATATTGCGCGCGCCGAAGGGTTAACTTTTACAAACGACGACAGGTGAGAAGCACACAGAAGATTGATTGCAAATCACGCGAGCGAGCGGTCACAATAATGCTAGAAAATTATCGATGCGCTTCGGGGTTTGAGTCAGAGTTTGTAACGAGGTAAAATAAACGCGCACCCGTAGAAAAACAAATTGTACTTTTTTACTCGTTGTGTTTAATACTTTCAATAAACAAGCGAATATCGTCTACCATCGTTGAAGTAATTTAACTATTTAGCGACCGGCAGCAGCTCTATAACAGCGAGTATGCGTAAAGCTGCTCTACTCTTGTCTGTGTATTACATACATGGTCATGTGCTTTTTGAGGATGACGTTTTTGTCATAAAAGCCGCTACGGCTGCGGCTGTTGTTGCATAATAACCAGAGGCACGCGAGATGATCGTTATAATAGATGCGTATACGCTGCGAGAGCAGGAACGAAGATTGAATGCGGCGCCCGCGTTAAGCGTTTGTGCACAGAGACATCGACAAAAGGACGCTTGGTTTTTTAACCGGAAGATAGGTATGGAGAAACGCGTATACTAGGCCGAGCAGTTTTGAAAAAAGTTTTTCGTATCGCCTTGGCCGAAGGCTGAACTGAAAGTTCATGGGTTTCGATAAAAAATGCCTCTCTTCGTAGTACATAAATTGGCAGTCGATGTGTCCGGTTCTTCGAGCTCGTTAGAGCCTCTCGAGCTTGTTCAAATGACTTTTGTCATGTTTTGTTACGTTTCATATAAACATTTGTTACAAGCAGCGGGAGCTGATTAGCAGAGGCTCGAATCAATTAGGTGCAGCGTTACGCACAATTTCGGTCCCTTTCCTGCAGGCACGCCGAGCATACGGAAATTCGCTCGATACAATAATAGAGTCTACCTCATCGCAGTTGCAAATCAAAAGCCATCATTCGACCGGTAGAAGACGAGAGAGAGAAGAGAGAAAAAAAGTAAAAGAATGAAACTGCAACGGCGAGAAAAAAAAGTTGACGGAAAAAAAGTTGTCGATCCCAAGCAAAACTCGTCTTCGCGCTGTATGCGCAATATTCGTGTGGGTCTATGTATGTGTAGATACATGCATACACGTAAGATAACGATAACGATGATGATAATGATGATTGCCGTTCGTTCTGGTGGGATCCTGATGCGTCAAGTATATAGTCGCGGGCATGCACAGACACACACACACACATACGCGTAGCGCGAATATAGCACGGACGAAAAACGATGATGATGACGGCGTGGAATTCTTTTCTCCTACATCGTATAAATGTGCGAGTGTATGTATGTGTATGATGGCATGGCAGCACTCTACATGAGAATAATAATGATGATGATGATGATGATGATGATGATGATGATGATGATGATGATGATGGCAGCGAGGAACATTATGCCCGAGATCCTCCGTTGTTGCTGCTGCCTTTACTGCACGAGACTCGGAGTGTAATCATCATTTGGCCTCTCAACCAATGGGAAAACACCATGAGGATGGCGAGGTGCCGGCCGCGTATATCGTATGTTGTACGAGAGGAGGTGTTTCCACGTACACATACATGCAAGCACACCAAAGCACAGACGTCGTCGTCGTCGTCGTTCGTATCCTTTTGTGCTTGATGCGAAATACGCTATCTCTCTCTCTCTCTCGCTCGCTTTCTGTATGTGTGTGTGTTTTATGCGAGTAAGCGAGGTACGTGTGCGCGCCTCGGCAGTCTTTATTATAAAACCGCCCGAGCATCCACGAAGCCGAGTCAGTATATCTACGGTAGACGCTGAGACGGCCGAGTCGATCGCAGCCGGTGATTTTTGCCGAAGATTTTCGTCGTCCATACGCATCCTCCGCGATAACTTCTTGTATTTCGAGATCCGTGTGCACAGTATCATTTGTGAGAGAGAAGCGATAATCGCGCCTTCGACACGAGCGCGTGAATGAGTGAATGAGTGCGTGCGTGCGCCGGAGCGGAGCAGCTACAGCAACGGCGGCAGAACAGCCGGTGTGCGCACACTAGCGCGATTCGCGCGAGCAACGATCTTTTTTCCGCAAGATATACGCGCGTTTAGGCACGTTTTTCGTTTCGGCGGTGCATATGTGCATACTCGACTCGCTTATCGAACTTACTGGCCTCATACACTCGATTCTATACTCAAAGAGAATATCTATAAATTGACGATTGTGCACGTGTGTATACAGTGTAGCAGAGATTTACTGCTGTCAAAAGAAACATTCGGTATATTTCAAGAATTACAGTGAACGCAAAAGACAAAAATATTGTCAAGTCAAAATAACGATTTTATTATTTTTTTTTTGCACGGCAGTAGAGCGGGTCAGAACTAGTACGGAAAAAATTGCAGACTGCAACACAGAGCTCTCGCGATTTTAAGAAATTTCGATAATGACAAGGAGATAAACAGGCGATCCGCCAAACGGAATCAAGGTCACGTTATCAATTGAACTCGAGAAAAGCATCGACAGCAGCAGCAGACATACAGTAAGTATATAATAAGTAGAGGGTATATATATAGCTCCAGCTCGCTCTCTCTCTCTCTCTCTCTCTCTTTTCTCTTTCTCGTTCTCTCTCTCCCTCTCGAGGTTGCGATAAGCCGCGAAATACCGAGGCATATTCTGAATTTCAGTGACGCATGCCACGTGCATTGCCGTAATGTACACACACTCATCTTCGTTCGTACATATCACACACGGAGATATTTTTATGTGTTGGCGACTTTTGTCGCGCTCACTGTAGCTGCTGCTGCTGCGACTTTTGTTTTCGAGCCGATTTATACGAACAATTTATATATAACTTACCGGTTAGAGTCGAGACGTCGCTGTAAGTCTTCGACGGCGAATTGATTCTCAATTTGGTGAGCCTCAGTGCGGCGAGAGTCGCGCTAGCCTTGGGCGATACTCCGGGCCACCTTGGACCCTCATCCTCAACGGCGGCCAGCTTGGACGCACTTTTGGCGACGAAGGTGTTCGCCTCGTCGTTCTGCTCGAAAAAATAAATACCATAATTAAATTTTAATTGTAAATCGACTCGTTGAGAAGGAAGAACGCCGATCAACTAAGATAGACGTAATACGGTATGTAATTATATTTTGATTCGCTGATACGAAAATGATTCAGAACTTATACATGTAACACATAAGAGGAAACGCCGTCGGTCCGAGAAGACCGCTTTCGACGCGATATGACATCTTTATATTCGCTTACTTCGGAGCTCAAAGAAATGCAACGATATTTCAATCTATTACTCGATATTATACGCGAATTAAATTCAAAAGGGTTTTTTGGCTCGAGTTCAAGAAAAACAAAACGCATTCGTTGACAGGGGGTGTCTTGTTTCGGGGATAATTCGTGCGCGACAACGCAAGCACAGTCTAGAACAATACGAGATTTGATTGGGTTTCAACGACGTGTGTATAACATTGTTTGAATATAGCCGGAGGGATTAATTAACCTTTGCACGTTGATTAATCGAGTATGATGGAGATGCTAGTCAGAGCAGGAAATTTTCCGGCTATTAAACGCACCTGAAATGCCAGCATCGACCTTTCTCGACTCTTTCTGCTTTCCTCGACGAATCCATCAATTTCTCTGACATCTCTGTTTATGTTATCAAAAAAATTCATAGAAAATTTTCATAATATTTGATGGATGATTCACCGTATTCTAATGCAGTTTGAATCAGAGAGAGTTCACTCAAAGTATTTTTATGTGCATGTCAAACATTGAAAAGACAGGGCTTTTCTTGGACAACCTACTTCATACTCCCATAAAACGAGTTGGAGAAAAAATTAGTCGTTCGTAATTGGCCACATCGGAGTATAAGGGTCTGTGTGTTGATACGCCCGAGTGTACTCAAGTGCGTGCGTGTGCGTGTATGCAGTTACGAGACTCGAGGTCTATTATTGTATCGCTCGCGATGCGTAACATTTTCACGCGTTTTACACGGTTTGTCGCCTCCAAAGCTGGTATTTATATATAAACGAACTCGGAGTGTGTGTATGTATGTGCATCCGACACAAACACGTCTAGCTACCAAATTGTCTACGAGCGCATATACTTGAGTTATCTTTAACAGCGTCAATACCGACTTTCGTGTGTTTATAATAGATAAGAAAGAGAGGAAAATCGATCGAGAATGTTATACGTGCCATTGGCAGTGTACCAATTACAATCGATAAACTTCGCGTTTGACACCGCAGTTACGTCACGAGAACGTGTATACACCTATACAAACGACACACGTGCTCATCCAAAATCTTAGTAAAAAAAAAATAGCTCACGTATTTCCATTTTGAGTTCTCGTTCATCTTATATTTGTCCAACAAACAATTTATTTTCCACTGTCTATTCACAAACAAACAAAAATAAACAACATCCGAGTGTAGAGTAAGTATGCACACGAACTTAACATGGGATCACGACGAGAGCGTACGTCAGAACGCACGACCGGTCAATGTCCAACTGAGCCTAATTCTGTTTTGGTTATGCGTTTTTCCGTCCCTAAGACCAATTCGTAGGAGTGTGCGAGTGTCTCTGGAACCGAGCGTGCCAGAGATCCCCGTTGATAAAAAGAATCCGTATATAACGCTTCGCCATAAATCCTAGGCACGTGCGTGCTATGCGGCACTCGCGTCGTCTGCGCATTCAAAATACGATTGCTCCGAATATGGCCGCGTGTGACTGTTATGTGTATTATGCCTGTCATGTGGAGATGCGCGCGACGTTAATTCGAACGCGTATCTTTCGTTATAGGTCACGCATGTGATCATTTCACATGAAATTCCGGATATAATTATGACACTTCCGACTACTAGGATTTTTAAACACTTTTTCAACTATGTTTTGCAATACCGTGAGCTCACGAACAATCGAACCGAAGTAAGAAATTTATAATTGAGAAACGTGTGTCGAGTGCACTTGAACGTAGCACGAGAATCTAATCAAACCCATTTAACGAACAATTTATTAGACGGACGATTGTAATATCAAAAATTTATTAATTTGTTATAGTGAAATATCGTCATTTTTTTATAAAATAATAATTAGACGAGTTTGAATTATTAATTTGAAAAATTAAATTGGACTTCTGGTGAGCGAAATGAAGTGTTGTCGAAATTGAATTTGCGTTAAGTTGCGTCGACATCTCAAATCGGATTGCATAATTTTCCAGAAACATGCGAATTTCATCATAAAAGGCAAACTACAGTGTCCTACAGTGCTATTTGAGATGCAAAGTTGATGTTAAAAAAATTATTTGTAATTTTTTTCTTTTACACAATTAAAAGTTTTATTAGTTATTTTTGTTCTAAATGAATTCACCAAATCAATAATAATTTGACTTTCTTTAGTAAAAGTATATATTTGTTATAAAAATGACATGCATTAAGCGTTAAGCAAACAAAATCACTCACCGTTGGTTAGATGGTTAGGTATTATAATCCTGGTTTCCGTTGTAGAAACCTAAACTTGATTGATATAATTTGTATTGAAGCAACTGAAATAACACAAACAAAACACTGTGAGATGAGCGCTCTAATCTAATGATATTGTGATGTTATTTTGTGTATCTACAGTACAAATACTTATTTACTGTACGATAATGAAATAAAAAGTATGATTGCATACTTTTATTCCTGAAAAGTGTTGGCGCACACTTATTGATTACAAATAAAATTCAATATTGTCAAAGCAAATGATTGCAATGAAAAAAAAATTATTCAACTATTCAATACGACAAGTGGTCATTTAGCTACATTGTGATGTACAAACTCATAATTGTTAAAAATGTGTCTCCAGAAAAATTCTAATTGATAATATTAGCATGACAGAATTAACTACAATTGAAGTTAATATCTAAAACATTTACAATTGAATTTTTTCTTTTTTTATACTATCCAAAGTTATTTATGTATGCAAGTTAAAATTAGCCTTTACCTATTACTTTCATGTCTAAAGATTGAAACCTCTTATTGCATGTAGAACTTTTTATTCGTATAGATATACAACCTACATGTCTCCAATGCAATGCCCTCACTAGGATCAATATTATTTGAAAATCAATAAGCTATCTTAGCCTACAGTTGCAAATTATACAGCAGGTAGAAACAGTCGAAAAAGCAGTTTTCTCATTACCTTACTAAAAAAACGTTACATCACTCATGGTTTTTTTCTCTTATAAAACACCAACTGTAACTTTTTGAAATTGGAACGAAAAATTGCAACCTTATGTGCAACCCTTCGACCCCGCGGGGTCAGACGCGTGCGAGAAACCCCGTGTTGTTCGCTCGTTTTTTTTCCATTTCGATCCATTCAAGGTTATAACCCTACAAATATACCACTATTGTACAATAGTGTTCAATGATTGCAATATCAATGTGCATCACAATGCAGCCTAGAAATAACGAACATTCGATCTAAAAGATTATTCAAAGTTCTAATTATGAACGGTTGGACGAATTCGGAGCATTTTTAACGGCGAGAAATTTTCGTTCGATCAATGGCCTAACTATTGCGGTATGCACCTACACTTGTCAGTAAATGAGGTTTTTACAACGTATGTATCCGGTGTCGAACGATTTGAGAAAAAAATAGACTGTAAGAAAACGAAGAAAAGAAAAGGAAAAAATAACAAGAGGTATCGCACAAGTGGGTTAAAACGGTGTTTAAAAAATAACATTCGCTCGCACATACACGCGCGCGCGCGCGCGAAAGGAGGCTTTATTGTGTATGCCTTTACGCTCATCGATTCTTGAACTTTTTTTTCTTCTTCGCGGCTAGGTTGCACTTGGTCAGTCGAGATTGCACAAAAGATAATAACTTTGAAAGCGGAGAATAATCGAAGCCAAGTTAACGGGCAAACACACGAGTATAGCTAGCAGACGCACGAGTCGTTTGAATTGTCCATTATTATCATGCGTGTTCTATACGTGTTACGAAATGCACTGTAACTGTCACACAACGCTGTATACATGTATGCGAAACACGTCTACGCTCGTTATATAGAGGAGGGTGCACAGCACGCACAAAAGTCAAGGTTATCACGAGGTGCAGCACCAGGGCAAACTCAACTTACCGCTCGTTGATGACGATGAACGACTACGCTTGCGACGCTTTTTTCACGGCTACGCATCCTTCTGGGGCTGCTGACGTTGATGCTTGTTGCGAAAAACGAGGATCGCTCGTCGTTGAGACTGTTGCTTCTGCTGCACCGATGATCGTCGCTGCTGATGCACCGTCTCCGAGTACAAGGCGCACGAGTCGCGCATCTCTCTGCTGGTTCTCGTAACCTCGCAGAAACTAATTCTCTTTATCTCGCCTTGTCTTCGGGATCTTTTTCTCTCGACTCCGAAAGAAAAGAAAAGTATAGATATGAGTTCGGAGCACGCGTTTGAGACGTATACGCAACGAGAGACAGAGAAAGAACACTTTATGTATCAGCACACGTACACACGAAAAGGAACACCTTGAGAACGAAGAATATCACTGGCTTGTAATCTTTAGAGTAGAGAGGAATTATGCACCAAAAATATATACTGTTGTGTGTGTGTATGTAGGATATACAAGCAGCAGTAGTAGCAGCAGCAGCGAGAGTAGATTGCGTATTGTAGTGTTTACAAAACCTATTGTGTATTTGTGTGCGTGCCCGTGGCGAGCTGCCTTTCACGTCGCGCGAGAGATGTATATATTTTTCGTATTATAATATGCTATATATAATATTACGCACGCACACAACCGTAGCACGCACGAGTAAAACTACTGGATGACTCGACTGCTCGAAATGTCGATTAGCAACAGCAGCACCAGCATGGCACACTTTTTGTTATCGTTGCATATACACGACAATGGCACTCGACAACGCACAGCAGAAAGAACGAAACACTCTCTTTCTCTTGTTTCTGTTATATCGCTGCGAGCTGCAGCAGCATCAGTGCATCGAGCAACGTGCACATTTGGTTATATCGCGAGGTGTGTGTGCACTATAATACAACTGCACAAAGCCACGCACATACACAGAGACAGAGGCACACGCGCGCGTAACAAGACCACGGGGACAGTAGAGATTCACAGATAGTGGCAAACACACGTCAAATAGGTATGCTATGTGCCATCTATGCTACAGGATATTCTGGCGCTGTATACACTATTATATCTGGATCGGCGATTATATTTCTAAACGCAGACTGCCATCGCGGGTACACGGCTCTCGCCTAGCCGTTGATACACTTGTTAATGATGTTATGATGTCGTGCTGCTTTGTATTGTGCGGCCTGCCTCTCTTTAGCAGCGCGACTGATCGACTAACACACGCATATAAAGCAGACATCGACATCGGCAGCAGCAGCTGTGGCCTGTGCCTGCTGCTCTGGCGATTACATGAGCCATCGTCGTCGTCGTCGTCGTCGTCGTCGTCTGCCTTGCGCAGACTGTGTTGGTAAAGCTGCTGCTGCTGTCGTTGGCCACGGATCTATTATTGCACTGCGCGCGAAAAAAAGAGACGGAAAGTCATGGATTCGGCACGAGCTGCTCCTGCTTCGTGCATTATTATACACACTCCTCGCGTTGTGTGTGCAGAAATGCTGCAGAGCACTGTATTCGCGATCCACGAACGGAAAAGTACTCGGTGCGCGTGCGCGACCAGTAGCAGACGCTCTACTACATGTTGCAAAACCAAAATGGCGTACGCCAACGATCATGCAGCAGTGCTGACGACGGTTGGCGCGATAATTCGATTTTCCGTCGTTTCTTGTTGAGCAATGGAATCGTTGTCAAAAACGTCATTAAGATTGTTTCGATAATCGATCGGTAAAATTCCATGTTTTCTTAATTGTAAAAGTACTCAATGGACTGTTTTTTTGTTGAACTGCATCGTTTCGAAATATTTTTTCCCACGTTCGATAAAATCAGCTTCATCGAATTTTATCATTCATCTCAAAATCGAGACACCCAAAATAATCATCTTCGGGTACTATAGCTGTTAAGCCATAATCGTTGCATAGTTGCCAGCCGGCTGTGTATATATTTGTAAAATGCACATCGACGCTCGTTAAGGAAAACGCGACATCTATACGAAAAATTACACGCGAGTCGGTACTATACCTATCGTGTAGATATACCTACGTGCCTGCAGGGGCACACGATCCATTTGGCGGCACTGCAGTGCGCACCGCACGCGAGAATCAGCATGGTGTGCGCGTTTGGCCCAGACCAATCTAAATAGCTGCGCGAGTAGCGCCGATAATTATCGTATCTTTATAATTGCTGCTATGCGCACGAGCCTGATTGCCTATGCATGTATGTGTTTATGCAGCTGTGTCGATGTGCGCGTCGACTCCGAAATACAACCATCATCGTTATTACATGAAAGAAAACTCGGTAGTTTCGAATGAAAATTAAGACGAATTTCGAAATTAGATCGCGACAGCTGTATCAAAAACGATCGATCGAACATCGACTTGAATTCAAAGCAAACAAATGCGATGTGAGTCGACAAAAAAAAAAGGAGCAAAATGTACGGGAGTCTCGACGTTCGGAGCGCATCGGACCAATTCGACGAATCGATGGCATAATCGCGTATGCGCAATGTAAAGGTTGCAAGTCCCCCTACATGATGGACACAAGCACACAGATGCACACCGACATATTTGCAGTCTCGAGCATTTGCGTTTGGCTGCTGTATGATAATGTAAAGTCGAGTTTTGCGCCGTGCCCCGCAGCTAAAAGCGCCACCGGATCTGCAACGAAGGTACGCGCAAGCTCCCCTATCAACGCGTACATTTATATACTCACACACACAGACACACGGACATGGACTTGGACTCGGAGAGAGAAATAGAGAGCGTCTAAAACACGAGTGCATATATATGGAGGCACACCACTAAACTTTCCCAACGATCGAGCTTCGCAGCTATATAGCCTCATGCGACAAGCGATCGTTCGATCGCTCTCGATCGAGCTTTTATGGTCAGAGGCACGTGATAGCCACGAGAGAGAGAGAAAGGTTACTTACTTATCATGCCTATATTTATTTAACAAGGTGAAGATGTAAATTATCGCCGCAGCGCGAGTGAGTACAGGCGAACTCGTGAGTCGTGAGCTGCTGTTACATGGGCGCGATTCCTAGTGACATTTACGGCCGCGCGATGAGACGGCCTGCCTCTATATAAATCGATTGTCATTATATTTGTATGTCATGCGAGCTATATACTACTTAAAACACAGCTCACACATACACACTCGACATTTTACAGACTTGCTTTAAAATCCATATAGAGCTTCTTCCCACACTCTTCTCTCGCTACGACACTGTGTGCGTGTGTGTGTATGAGATCCCGTCATCGATTTATTTTTTTTAATGGCGTTTCTCTTTTTTACGCGTACGATTCGTAATTCTTTCCATTTTTGTTGTTATTTTCCAGCGATCAGGCCGAGCGTGGTGCAGGGCGCGCACGACTGCTATCTGCAACAATATAGACAGAAATATACAGCAACGATGAGGGGAAAAAAGCTGAGCTGGCGGTAAGCTCTAGCTTCAGGCGTCCGTTCTATAGGCTTTTTTGGCTCTTATCATCGTCGTCATCGTCATCAACGTACTACTGCCAGTGCTGCTGTTCGCAGAATTATAGGCCGCGGCTGCTGCTGCTGCTGCTGCTGCTTCTGCTGCCTGTTGGCTGAAGCCAGCGTCGAGAGAGTCAACCAAGTTCGTGCAAGAGCCCGAAAGAGTGGCCTAACCCCAATATTATCATCGTCCGTCTCTCTCTATCCGCGCCGCGGCAGGCACAGCACAGCATAGCACACAGAGTGAGGCAGCGCAGCAAAATCTGCGAGCTCGGGCGCGCGCGCAACAATATACACGGAGAGAGACGTGAGCCAAGAGCCGAACAGTGCTGCTCTGCTCTGCTCTGCTGCACACATAATATATACGTATATATACAACTTCAAACTGTGCGTATGTGTATGTGTGCGCGTGTATGTGTGCAAGCGTGCGTGCAACTGTGTGTGTAGGTTTTTTTTTGGTTTGTTGATTTTTTTTTTCGTTCGTCCGCACGAGTCGCTGTGACACCCTGGACTTCAACCTAGAGGATCGACGCCACAAGGTCCAAGGTACGACATTATATTTCAGCCATATGCACGACTATAGACGTACACGACCACATAACGAGGCGAGTCTCGCGACCTGCACGCACACTCGCATCCATATATGACACACGAACGCGCGATAAAATATATACGTGTGTACATGACACAAACTCCGACTGCCACTGCTGTCAGTGTGTGCTCACGTGTGTGTATGTCTGTGTGTATACATGTGTGCGTGCGTGGGGCCAACCAAGCAGAGCAGCCCCCCATGCATGTGCGCGACGCGCGAGGCTGCCCAGGCATCGTCGTCGTCGTTTATACACACTATACACACACGTGTGTGTAAGTGTGCACACTGCAAGTCTGATTATATGCATGTATATGTACACATACAATATTAAGCAGTAGTGGTAGTCACTGCTGCCGCCACCACCAGCACACACCACCACCACCACCACTGCCATCGTCCGTCCGTCGCGCTATAGCTCCGCGAATATAGAGAGCAAAAAGAGGAGTGAGTCGAGCAGACGAGAGCAGCGCAGCATTTATAGTGCATTATATAGGAGAGGAGGCAGCAGCAGCAGCAGCAGCAGCAGCAGCAGTGGCGGAGTCGTCGTGCAGTTCGAGCCAGCAGCGACGTCGAGAGCAGTTGTGTGGCGGTGGCGGCGGCCGCGAGAGGTTGTGGTGTGTGCAAATTTTTTTTACACCTTTTTTCGCGCTCCTACAACACATTTATTACACATTTATCACACATTTGTTACACACGCAGGCGTAAATTTAAACAAATACTCGTGAAGCGTACGCGATTTAGCCGTGCGAATTCGTAATCATTGCTCTTCCCAGTGCAGTGTTTGGCACCTACCTATATGTCTGCCTATATCACACGGTTAGCTCGCTCGCTCACTCACACTCGCGCGACACATATATACACAAACACGATATTCACCTAATCTCGATCATGTGTCGTTGTTTATAGTCGTGCGTCACGTTGTTGTCGCTGTTGTTTTCCTCTCCTTAAACTCGTATTTTATATCTTTCTCTCTCTATACCCTTATGCAGTGTCAAAGTTAATCCGAGCCACTTTCTGGCTTTTTTTTTTGTTTTATCGTACAGAAACAAAAAAGAAGAATAAGAAGAGAAGCAGCAGCAACAAACACACACACTCACTCGCACGGACAGAGTAGTAGCAGACGGAAAAAAGCTGCGAGAGCCTCGAAGAGCATATTATAATAGAAGAGGAGGAGAGACGGTGTGTGCAGCAAGTCACCCGCAGCAGCTGCATTACAAGAACGTCAACGTCAACGTCGTCGTCGTCGTGTTGTGCGCCAGTCAATAATAAAAGTGCAGTGTTGTTGTGCATTATATACAAGTGAAAAGTTGATCATTTAACGCAACAAAAAAAGTAAAAAAGCAAAATAAAAAAAAAAGAGAAAAGCAAAAGTTTTTAACAAGTATTATTGCACCACGAGACGACTGTGAGAGAAGCTGCAGCAGCAGCCGACGAAGAAGAGGAGCATGACGACGGACGTGGGCAGCAGCGGCAGCGGCAGCAGCAGCAACATCATCAATGCGACGTCGGCCGCGGCCGCGGCTGTGGCGGCGGCCCAGCAGCAGCAGTTCTGCCTCAGGTGGAACAATTTCCAAGCCAACATAACGAGCCAGTTCGAGGCTCTGCGCGACGACGAGGACTTTGTCGACGTCACCTTCGCCTGCGACGGACGACGCCTGCAGGCGCACAAGGTCGTCCTGTCGGCCTGCAGCCCCTACTTCAAGGAGCTCTTCAAGGTTAGCCCCGTCGACGTCCGACGTTGGTTTATGTTATTAAATGCAGCGCGCTCTCGAAAAACTCGAAGCTGCGCTCATACCAGCTCATTATCGGCCAGATATCTTTTCCTTCTTTTTTTTTTGTTTTGTTTTTGGTCGCTCAACTTCTTTTTCGCTGCTCTCTGCATATTTTTTTTTTATTTTCTGTGGCTGTCGCATTTTCTCGCCACTCCACTTTAGCACATCTCTTTCGCTCTCTCTCTCTCTCTCTATCTCTCTCTCCCATATAATATCGACGTCGGAGCAGCAGCAGCAGCATCAGCAGCAGCAGTCGAGGCCTCCCCACCTATTTTTTGCTCTCTTTTTAATTCGCTTTTTCGGACATTATTAAATTGCATGCACGTACACATACGAGCGAGCGAGAGCTCGAACGAACGAACGAGCCCCTCTGTGTATATGTATGTGGGATGATCCCCTCCGTCGACGTAGCCGTCGTCGTCGACGTCCGCCACCATTCCACCTCCTACGCCTCCATTGGCATACACACATAGCATCAGCATCAGCAGCAGCAGCAGCATTAACAGAAGCAGCAGCAGCGATACTCTCCTCGTCTCTCTCTCTCTCTCTCTCTCTTTTCGCATTCCCCCTTGAGCTTCGCGGTTTCGTCTGTCTGTCTGTCTCGCTCTTTTTTTATCATGCGCCGTACTCGTATCTCTCTTGCTCTCTGTTATAGGTATACCAAGCTCTGCTGCTGCTGCTGCTGCTGCTGTCAATGTATGTGCTACATGTATACATAATACACGTATATATGCACGCGGGCAAAAGCAACGCATCGCAGCAGCAGCAGCAGCAGCAGCAGTCCGCCACACAGCACATATAACGCGTGCACACGTCTATATCTGCCGTATTGAAAAATGTTTGTCTTTATATCTGTACTTGGGCTCTGTATGTGCATGTATTATACGGGCCGGGCCATCGCAGCAGTACACAGCGCAGCAGCATCGGCACACGCGCGCGCGCTTGCGGGGATATCCTTCTATAGATGTACACAATTCGCACACATGCACAAGCCATACACACGCATTCGTAGCGTTTATATAGCGAGGAGCTGTATAGATATCTACGAATATATATGCGCGTGGCTTATAATACATAACTCGATGGGATGGCTGCTGCTCGCTTTATAACGTCGAGCGCAAAATCGGAGTCGTCGTCGCAGAAACGCGCAGACATTTCGCATCCGCGGTATATATCGGTGCGCGCTGCATATATGGAAATAAAATGAAGAAAATGACGGTGCGCGGTCCGCTCGAATATAATGTATAACAATAATAACAAGCGCATGCACACGCGCTCGCGCACCGATAACGACGACGACGAGCCCGACGAAGAGCGAGCGCGGCACATTTTTTTCCTATCGCTCCATACTCTCTGCTCCTTTGTATTTATGACGCATGCCTTGTGTATACGGTACAAGCACGTGAGACGCAGGGAGATAGACGGAGAAAGATAGAGAGGAGAGAGAGAGAGGAAAGAAAGCGAGAGTATATGTAAATGCAATATTATATGGAACAGGTTGGGTAAGCACCGACGCCACGCGTGCCTTAACGTGTGTGTGCATAACGCGAAACAGCAGAGAGAAAGAGAGAGAGAGAGAAACAGATCGGTAGACATTTTCGGAGTTGTTTGATTACGGCTCGCGCTTTTATACAATGACGGTGTGCTGCTGCTGCATGCCGCTGGCCATTGCTCGGCAGCAGCAGCAGCAACTTCGAAAGAGCTTAATCTTTTTTTATTTATTCTTTTTTTTCGTCACTTTCCATAACGTCACGCTCGCATGCGCGTGTGCTCGTGTGCCATGCTACATACACGAGTCCACACATATCGACGAAAGCGCGTTTTTAAAAGAAGAATGAAAAAAAAAAAGATGCGCGCTCGAGTCTGCCGCTGTTGTTGTTGTTGTTGTGCTATTCGACGCAAAACTGCATTCAACTAAAGAGAGAGAGAGAGAGAGAGACAAAACTCGTGACGCTGCGAATGACGAATGTGCGTGCAAACGAAGCTCCGAGAGTTCAGAGAGAGAGAGAAAAATCGAAAAAACGAAAAAATAAACATTAATTAGCCATATAAGCGCGCTCGAGCTCTTTTTCATGTAATTTTATACAATGCGCGTACAGCACTTAGACAGATATATAGGCTGTGCACACACATACACTCATGAGTGCAGCAGCAGAGCTCTCCGTTCTCGTCGTCTATCTTTTGCACGCGCGCACGCGAATGCATAGACATACATAGACGACGACGACGACGTCGACGCATATGTAAGACGTACAAGTACACATGCGCACACATACACAAGCGCTACGGGCTCGACACACAAACATATAGATAATGTTCTATTCTCTATGCTGCTGCTGCTGCTGCAGCGCGCGCTTAGTAACACACGCTGTGCAGTGTGCTGCAGCAGAGTTAGAGTTTCCACATGCCTGGCGCTCTATATGATGTGTCATGTGATGCTCGTGCTCTCTTATAGAGCTTAGACACACACATACTAGCTTGCGCGTGCATTACATATATAGCTGTCGGATGTAGGTACATGTATACAGATACATAGAGACAGGCTCATCGCTGCTGCTGCTGCTGCAGCGCGTCATTATATACGGAGAATATGCTTTATATATAACCGTGTGCATGTATAGAAGCAAAGTCACATTATATAGACATTATTACGCACGTATAATATACACGCGTATACGTGTATATGTCGTGCAAGCCTCGCGGCAAACGGCGACGACTATGCGGACCTGTACAACGAGTGCATGTTGTAAGCGGCGAAACGTAAAAAATAAGAATTTAAAAAAAAACAAAAATATAACGCGCGAATATATAATATACGTGTCTCTCTCTCTATCTGCCCGTCTGTCTGTCTGTCTGTTCTGTTAATGCATATGTGCATGTACGCGCGCGCATCGCATTATAAATAGAAAAATACCGCGTCTATATTCGTATGGGAAAATGAGTAGATAATTTCGATGTTTCGAAAACTTTTTCGGAGCTTATTTAAGCGTAAATTACACTGCTGCTTTTGCTTTTACTGCTATAGTGCCACCCCTCCTATGTATGTACTGTACATATACCCCAATGCTGCAGGCAGGGCAACAGCAGCAGCAGCAGCTCCCGCATCAGGCCGGTATTTTACCCTCTCGCCCTCGCTTTCGTTCTCTCTTTTTCTCTCTCTCCCCCCTTATTGCATTCACATACACACATGGAGAGGTATATACACATACGCACGAAGCAACCCCTTTTTGCACACTCCCCCGCATCATTTTCTGTGCTGCTGCTGCTGCTACTGTGCTCTGCTACATAACGTATAGATATACCGCTGTACTGCACATGCCTACCTAGATCTCTGTCTCTTTCTCGCTGTTGCACGTATAGCAGCAAGCGCTACGCTGTACATATATAGATGCCCCCACATCACCCCTTGCGCTCGCGCGCAAGTATCAAGCTTTTTCGCATCCATAATCCTTCTATGCCACACACTGCTCGTTTCTCTCTATGTTGTGCGTTTCAATATATATATGAGTGAGTGTATGTTGCATGTACACATACACTTGCTCATACTTACACTCATACGTATGTGTATATCTCGCTCGCACATTCGTTCTCTTTTTTTTTCTATGTCTGCATCTAGCTCTATCTCGCTCTCGTTTTTTTTCTGATGCTTCTTTTTCGCTGTTTCTCTCTTTCTCCCTCTATCTCTCTCTCTCTCTCTCTCTCTTTCTCTCTCTCTATGCACTCGACTGTCTGGCTTCTCTCTTTCTGACTATACTACTGATGCCACTACTTTTGCTAGGTCAGATACATAGCGTGAAAACGTGTACATATATATACGTTTAGACACTCATACTCGCACATTCGTATCGTACATATGTACGTGCGTCTCGAGCTTCATATGTGTGCACGTATGTATGCAGTTGAGTGCACTTTTGGTCCTTGTTCACGTATTATTCCATGAACTGGCAACAGCTACGGCCTTTTAAAACACTTTTGCGCTGACTACACATTTTTTTTGCCATTGTTATTGCTCTTAGCAATCTTGCCTCCTTTTTTTGTTTTTGCTTTCGTTGTTGTTGTTATTATCATTTTATGATTAATGCCATTATGATTTTTCAATATGACAAAATGTACAAACACAGGAAAATGATCGGCCATTGTTTATGATATATGTACAGATACACATACACATAATTATATTTATTTAAACATCCACGTACGTACACGTAGGTTTGTCAATGTCCTTGCAGCTATTACTGAGAATGCTGCCTCAGAGTAAACTTGAAACATTGGAATTCCTTTTTCAATTTCAGGCCAAGATAAATAGATATATAGATATTTTAATTACTGTTGCCTTAGATATTGCCATGATTGGAACTTTGACCAGCTCTTTAACATTTCTGTTTCAATTTAAGATTACATATATATTTATAGATAGGTCGTATAGTCTTGGCAAGTTGAATAAATATTGAGGCAATGTCTCTGAGTAATGCATTGGAAAATTTTTGTCTTACTGCAGCGGGGGTCACCATAAGACTTGTCTGAATTAATATTTTTGCAAAGATGCTATTCTTGTATAAAACCTGATTTTCGTGTATTATTAAACGAGTCATTGACACAATTATTATATTGATGATATAGATGATGAATAAAGTTAATGCTCAGCTTGTACAAATCAAAACAAACTTTTAAAGATGAAACATGATATTATGCTAATGTAGGCCATACGTACGAAAGAATATTAAATTATTATTATAATGTATATATTGTATTAATTATGAAATTTTTAATTTCAGACAAATCCTTGTAAACATCCCATAATATTCATGAGAGATGTGGAGTTCGAACATCTGCAATCTCTCCTGGAGTTTATGTATGCTGGGGAAGTCAACATCTCACAAGCAGAATTACCAACATTTCTGCGAACTGCAGAGTCTCTTCAAATTCGCGGTCTTACAGACTCTCAAGGCAATCAGCACAACGAAAAGGTAATTGTATATATTTATAAATATCATTTAGAGATTTTAGATAAGATTGTCAATTCTTTTTCAACAGTTACAAAACGCAGCTGTCGGTATATATCTATCAATAATTCCTTTGTGACAGTTGCAAACATAATTTTTCCATTGTTATTTGATAAACGTGGTTCTAATTTATTATTGATTTTTACAGTATTCGAGGACAAATAATATCAATGCCTCGAACGGTCGTGGAACAATGTCGCCAAATTTCGATGATGATCGCAGTAGAACGCCGCCGCCGTCAAGTCCTCCACCTTTAAAAAGGCTGTGTAAAAGAAGTGATTCACCTCAGAACTCTAGTCCAGCACCTGCTGTACCAACATGTGCCACTAATACACCTCGCTCTCGAACGCTTATTGAACCTCAAGTTCAGCTTGACTGTTTTAAAGATATTGATGTTGTTGAGGTATTAAATCTGACATTTCTATTGTACATTTAGTGGACTTCAATTTTGTTGGGTGGAACGCCTGGATTTCATATACTTATACACGTTCCATCATTCTGTTTTACCCGACAGAACTAATGTCCTCTTAGTGCATGCACTTGGAAAGATTATTTGATAGATCATTAAAATTCATTAAATTTTCAGCCAAAAGTTGAACTGCCAGAATATGGAAGTGATGATGAAAAACAAGATCTCAATGCATTACCTGGAGGTTACCTCACATTGGATGGTGGAATGGAAGTTTTGCCTTCCTATCCACCAACGTATTCTGGTAATGCATTATATTCGAAAAAACTTGTTTCTATACTTTTTTGTATTCATATTTAGTTTTAAATATTATTTTATACTTTCCAAATACTAATAACTTATTTTGCAGGAAGTGGACTTGATGGAGTAATGCCTGGACCATCGCATGGTAATGCTGAGCTAAATCAGGAACAACAGGGTGAGTAATGTGTAGTCATTGTTACATTAGTAGTGCAAGCACCATTACAAACAGCAACAACCTAGCCGTTTACATCATAAGTAATGAATGTGAGTAGTTGAATGAATTCATGAATGAAAGTGATACATGATATACAGTGACAATGAATACAAGGAATGTGTCAAGTATAAGAATGAAAGCTAAAAAAAGTTGAGACAAAGAGAAAAAACATGATTAGGAAGTAAGCAGGAACTGAAACAAAGACAGAAGTTGGTAACCTGATAATTAAAAATGGTAAGCCCGTGAATAGTTTCTCAGGCTTAATGTTAGGAGCTAGGATAGAAAATTTGAAAGAAAAAAAACAAAATGTATTAAAGATTTGATACCCAGAAGTTATTCACTTCTACGGACGCGAGTCCGTTTTTGTACATTGAGTGCAGTTTGCAGCTAGTTTTTTGATCAGCTGTTATGAATGAGAGTCTAACTCATGTTTGACTTTTTGATTTTGCCAAACATAATGGCTTGATGATATTTTTGTACGGATAGACTAAAAACTATTAACAAAAATATACGTTTTATGTGTATATAATCAGTAATACATCCCTTTTTGCTTTCATACATTCATATATTCTGTTAATTCATGCTTCCAATTTATAAAGTGTTAATTTTTTTGTTGATTTAATCCATCAAGCACACAAAAAATTTTCTCATTTCATTACAGAACGATTGCTTTGAAGCATGTTCGTCTGATCAGATTTTTTGGAAAAAATCTCTTTGAAGCTATCGTTCATTTCATCATTATCATCATAATAATCTTATTATCTGCTTTGATCATCTCAAATTTCATGTTGTTTCTATAACATATCAATTAGGTATATCATCTATAGTGCGAATATATATATTTATTCGTCTCATTTCCATTGATTATGCTTTTCTCATCATTCATAAGTATAATCTTCATCTGTACCATAGCATCATACTGTCATTGATCTCAAGTTGTTATTTCTTATTATCACTTACATAATTGTTATAGCTGCAAATAGATGCATCTAGATTTATGACATTTCTTTTGAATTTGAAGATAAATTATATTCACAGATTGGGGACTACTTAAATTATTGTGAAAGTTTAATCATACCAAAGCTTATGCGCAGTATGATTCGGTAAAAAAATTGGCTTTTAAATTCTTGGATAACACTGTGAATGAAGAAAAACACCCAGTTCTTTACTTCATCGTTTTTTGGTCACGAAAAAAATAAAAAATAAGGATATAGCCAGATGATTTTTTAACTTTAGAACTTTTTGCACTTAATCCTTGAATATGTGTACACACAAACACAAATTCCGTAGTTATACCTTCAAATGAGAATGCATAATTAGAAACACCTTTAGTATATGAATACACCTGCCTGTATCCTCAAAATTTATACCGAAAGAAGTAGAGCATGCTTTAAAGGACTTTTCACAATGATCTTCAATTGCAGTGCTGAAGAAATATTCCATACACGAAGCATCAAACTTATTAAAAATTGAAAGTTATATTTTATTATACTTTTTTCATATAGTTACGAAGGAATTTTTCTTTCATGTGTACCACAACTAGAAGATTAGTGTAAATCCTTAAAATTATCATTTTCTGCATAATAAAATAATAATGACGAAAAAACGATGAAATTTGTAAGCCGACAGACAGCAAAAAGCGCTATATTGATAAATTGGGTGTAGTGCTAAATAGGACAACGTAAATTTCGTTCGCTGGTTGTTGCTGTCCTGTGGTGGGTTTTCTTTTTTTTTGTAATATTCAGTAATGCTTTATTCATTAATTTTTTTTATTAAGGCTTTTTTGTCATTTTCATGTTACTTTTTATTTTTAGCTTCACGCTATAAATCATGATAATTTAATGTAATAGCGCATTTTTCTTTCTAATTGCTTCAGAACAGTTTTAAACAGCAAAATTGCGCTGTACGCGAACATTTATTATATCAAAATTTATTATAAAATAAAGAATTTAAAAAAAAAAAAAATTCGCTTACAATCGCTGCATTTATTTATTTTTTTCTACTTTGTGTTTACAATAATCATTAATTCATGTGCTTCAATAATTTTATTTGTAATCGTATTACTATCAATGTGTGTGTCGCCTGCCAAAAAAATGAATAAAAAAAAATTTTAAGAAAAGTAAGATTGAGCCATCGCGATGAGAACGGCAAAAAAAAAACAACAATCAAACCACAATAGGGTGCTCTAGAGCCAAGAATCTCTGTGTGTGTGTTGCAGCTGACCTGCGCAAACTGCACTCGCTGGACCCGCGTCCCTGTCCTGTGTGCAACCGCATGTACAGTAACTTGTCGAACCTGCGGCAGCACATACGCCTGATCCACAACCCCCAGAGTGTTACATGTCCTCTATGTAGCAAGCCGTTCAAGACCAAGCTCTACCTGAAGCGTCACCTCGTCAGCTTTCACGAGATCACCGTTGCCGATCGTCAACGACAAGAAGAGATTTACCATCAGACGAGCGGCGGCGGCACTAGCGGTAATAATAAAACATCAACGTCCTCGACGGCTTCGACCAGCAGCAACAACAACAACGCCTCGTCGCCGTTGCAGCCGTCGCAATTGTCAAACGATGCGAGCGACGACGGCTCGATCATGTTGATGGTGCCGTCGTCTTCGGCGTCGGCGGCGGGGGCCTGCGGCGTGGCAACGACCACCGCGTGCTTGACGGCCACGAGTCCTGCCTCGGTCGCCGGGCCTAATAACAAATTCCAGCCGGCCTCGGCGGCCAGCGACAATTCGGCCTTCGGCATCGAGCTCGGCGAGACGATCAGAGAGGCCAAGGGTGCCGCTTTCGCTGGTACCGGCATGATACAGTTCAACGCGACCACCTTTCACTAATAGCTAATTTTTTTATCTTTACTTTTTTTTTAAAACGCGCGTAAGGGGTTGACGCTGTAGATCTGTTTTGTCGCGCGACGATACTCTCCGTTTTTCTTCGCTTCGATCCTACTCCGAATTACGCGATTCGAGGACTTTTTTCCGTCGTAACTAGTCGATTAGGAACCATAAGCAATGATCAAATGTTATAGACACTGCAGAAACCGAATATATTGCCAGAGGTACAACTTTTACATTTCCCACGTGGAAGTCCATAGTTTATTTTATTACACATAACGAAGCATCGATTATTTCGAGAATGTTTCGACGGAAAAAATTGTAAAGATTTTCGGTGCTGGATCGAAGACGTTAATTGCGCACACATACATACACACTACGTATACAGTTTAAATACACTGACAGCCGGTTGACCTAGAAATTTTACCGCACATGGAAACCTGAGATGTTGTTACTTCATTGAAGCATATTATGCATAGCACTTGTTCATCAATAACATATAGATATATATAAATATATTTATCGCCATAGCCTTGTTGTTTATTGATCATTTTTATTTTGTAACGATGCAAAATATTGTAAAACTCGTAAATACGTATACGAAAGATTGAAGAGAAAAAAAATACATTGAACTAATACTATCTGTACATAAAAAAAAGAAGAAAACAAAGTAATAACGTAACTACAATATTATTGTATAAAACTTGTAGCACAAGAGTGCCTCGACATGGCACGCACCACGTGAGCTAACTTACGTAATGAGAGCCCCTCCGAACACACCGACGTACACACATTCAAACAGAGACACCTGCTACATTGCGCGACGACACATAACTATTGAAAGAAAGAGAGACGCTCGGTTAATTGAGGGTTAACACCAATTTCTTCTTTTTTCGCTGAAAAGTATTCATTAACCCTCGTGAATACTTTCTTTTTTTTTCACTCAAGAATATGTATACCATACACCCGAACGTTTAAACAAGGTACTTATCGACACATGGAGATCGTCGCGCATAAAAAAGATCTACGAGTGATTTGTTTTGTATATTATTGTATTATTTTTTCCTCTTTGACGATCAAGTATTATTAGTTACTATTATGTAGATTCTATTATTTACGATTGTTCTTGCCCAGTATCTGTTTTTGTGATATAGTCGCTGCGCAGTGCCGAAACGACCTGCGTTCGATGATTAATTTATTATTATTAATATTATAATTATTATTATATTGTATATGCGTTTATTATGAATGTTTTTCTACGATGTACGACTACAACGGAGAGTCAAAAAGCTTTATTAGGTTATAACATTTGTATTTGTTGCGTTAAACTCGTTGTATTAATTAGTGATTATCAGCGATTTTGTTTTAGACGATTATGTTTTAACATGAATGCGCAATGAGTAATTTTAGCCAGAGATAAACTTTTTTGATAAGGAGAAGCGTGAGGTGTATTTTAAGAAATTCACAAAACTTTGATAACAACAAAAGGCTGACTGAGAGAAAAAATTGGAGTCAATGCGACACGATGATAAATTGCGCGTTCATGAGAGTAAATTTTGTTTTTAAGGATTTCGCGTTAAACTGAATGTAATACGAATGATATAAAGGGTGGTATCAGTCGATGGTATTGACGATACAGAAATAAACGTCGTCGAATTGATAAAAGATCGTTGTAAGTCGCTGAGACAACGATGGTGATGATGAATAAGAGGAGAGTGAGTCGCAGGATAAACGACGTACGTGCGTGTGATGTACTTAGGATTAAGGAAAAAAATTTGGAAAAGAGCGTAGAATCTTTCCGAGAGTCTAGTTTTTGCTCGTGTATTGATGAGATCATCCCGTGCCTGTTCGTCGTGCGCTAGCACAATTGTAAACTATGAAAGAGAAACGTGCACGTGATAGAAAATATTGAGAAACAAAAATTAAGGGACTGCACGATAAAAAAGACTAAACTGAAAAGCGCGCACGATGAACACGAGGAAGTTTTTACAAAAAAAGGGAGATAAAAAAGTAATGATGAAAACGACGGTGGAGCGGCCACCCCACCTCGTACCGTTTCTTAATAATATGAAATAATAATTAGTAACTTCTCTGCAACACACAAGCCCGGATATAATAGTAATAAA